ACCCTTGACCTTCACCCTTGACCTTCACCCTTGACCTTCACCCTTGACCTTCACCCTTGACCTTCACCCTTGACCTTCACCCTTGACCTTCACCCTTGACCTTCACCCTTGACCTTCACCCTTGACCTTCACCCTTGACCTTCACCCTTGACCTTCACCCTTGACCTTCACCCTTGACCTTCACCCTTGACCTTCACCCTTGACCTTCACCTTGACCTTCACCTTGACCTCACCCTTGACCTTCACCCTTGACCTTCACCCTTGACCTTCACCCTTGACCTTCACCCTTGACCTTCACCCTTGACCTTCACCCTTGACCTTCACCCTTGACTTCACCCTTGACCTTCACCCTTGACCTTCACCCTTGACCTTCACCCTTGACCTTCACCCTTGACCTTCACCCTTGACCTTCACCTTGCCTTCACCCTTGACCTTCACCCTTGACCTTCACCCTTGACCTTCACCCTTGACCTTCACCCTTGACCTTCACCCTTGACCTTCACCCTTGACCTTCACCCTTGACCTTCACCCTTGACCTTCACCCTTGACCTTCACCCTTGACCTTCACCCTTGACCTTCACCCTTGACCTTCACCCTTGACCTTCACCCTTGACCTTCACCTTGACCTTCACCTTGACCTTCACCCTTGGACCTTCACCCTTGACCTTCACCCTTGACCTTCACCCTTGACCTTCACCCTTGACCTTCACCTTGACCTTCACCCTTGACCTTCACCCTTGACCTTCACCCTTGACCTTCACCCTTGACCTTCACCCTTGACCTTCACCCTTGACCTTCACCCTTGACCTTCACCCCTTGACCTTCACCTTGACCTTCACCCCCTTGACCTTCACCCTTGACCTTCACCCTTGACCTTCACCCTTGACCTTCACCCTTGACCTTACACCCTTACCTTCACCCTTGACCTTCACCCTTGACCTTCACCCTTGACCTTCACCCTTGACCTTCACCCTTGACCTTCACCCTTGACCTTCACCCTTGACCTTCACCCTTGACCTTCACCCTTGACCTTCACCTTGACCTTCACCCTTGACCTTCACCCTTGACCTTCACCCTTGACCTTCACCCTTGACCTTCACCCTTGACCTTCACCCTTGACCTTCACCTCCCCTTGACCTTCACCCTTGACCTTCACCCTTGACCTTCACCTTGACCTTCACCCTTGACCTTCACCCTTGACCTTCACCCTTGACCTTCACCCTTGACCTTCACCCTTGACCTTCACCCTTGACCTTCACCCTTGACCTTCACCCTTGACCTTCACCCTTGACCTTCACCCTTGACCTTCACCCTTGGACCTTCACCCTTGACCTGCACCCTTGACCTTCACCCTTGACCTTCACCCTTGACCTTCACCCTTGACCTTCACCCTTGACCTTCACCCTTGACCTTCACCCTTGACCTTCACCCTTGACCTTCACCCTTGACCTTCACCCTTGACCTTCACCCTTGACCTTCACCCTTGACGCTCACCCTTGACCTTCACCTTGACTCACCTTGACCTTCACCCTTGACCTTCACCCTTGACCTTCACCCTTGACCTTCACCCTTGACCTTCACCCTTGTCCTTCACCCTTGACCTTCACCCTTGATCCTTCACCCTTGATCCTTCACCCTTGACCTTCACCCTTGACCTTCACCCTTGACCTTCACCCTTGACCTTCACCCTTGACCTTCACCCTTGACCTTCACCCTTGACCTTCAACCCTTGACCTTCACCCTTGACCTTCACCCTTGACCTTCACCCTTGACCTTCACCCTTGACCTTCACCCTTGACCTTCACCCTTGACCTTCACCCTTGACCTTCACCCTTGACCTTCACCCTTGACCTTCACCCTTGACCTTCACCTTGACCTTCACCCTTGACCTTCACCCTTGACCTTCACCCTTGACCTTCACCCTTGACCTTCACCCTTGACCTTCACCCTTGACCTTCACCCTTGACCTTCACCCTTGACCTTCACCCTTGACCTTCACCCTTGACCTTCACCCTTGACCTTCACCCTTGACCTTCACCCTTGACCTTCACCCTGACCTTCACCCTTGACCTTCACCCTTGACCTTCACCCTTGACCTTCACCCTTGACCTTCACCCTTGACCTTCACCCTTGACCTTCACCTTGACCTTCACCCTTGACTTCACCCTTGACCTTCACCCTTGACCTTCACCCTTGACCTTCACCTTGACCTTCACCCTTGACCTTCACCCTTGACCTTCACCCTTGACCTTCACCCTTGACCTTCACCCTTGCCCTTCACCCTTGACCTTCACCCTTGACCTTCCACCCTTGCACCTTCACCCTTGACCTTCACCCTTGTACCTTCACCCTTGACCTTCACGCCTTGACCTTCACCTTGACCTTCACCCTTGACCTTCCACCTTGACCTTCACCCTTGACCTTCACCCTTGACCTTCACCCTTGACCTTCACCCTTGACCTTCACCCTTGACCTTCACCCTTGACCTTCACCCTTGACCTTCACCCTTGACCTTCACCCTTGACCTTCACCCTTGACCTTCACCCTTGACCTTCACCCTTGGACCTTCACCCTTGACCTTCACCCTTTGACCTTCACCCTTGACCTTCACCCTTGACCTTCACCCTTGACCTTCACCCTTGACCTTCACCCTTGACCTTCACCCTTGACCTTCACCCTTGACCTTCACCCTTGACCTTCACCCTTGACCTTTCACCCCTTGACCTTCACCCTTGTACCTTCACACCTTGACCTTCACCCTTGACCTTCACCCTTGACCTTCACCCTTGACCTTCACCCTTGTACCTTCACCCTTTGACCTTCACCCTTGTCCTTCACATCCTTGTACCTTCACCCTTGACCTTCACCCTTGACCTTCACCCTTGACCTTCACCCTTGACCTTCACCCTTGACCTTCACCCTTGACCTTCACCCTTGACCTTCACCCTTGACCTTCACCCTTGACCTTCACCCTTGACCTTCACCCTTGACCTTCACCCTTGACCTTCACCCTTGACCTTCACCCTTGACCTTCACCCTTGACCTTCACCCTTGACCTTCACCCTTGACCTTCACCCTTGACCTTCACCCTTGACCTTCACCCTTGACCTTCACCCTTGACCTTCACCCTTGACCTTCACCCTTGACCTTCACCCTTGACCTTCACCCTTGACCTTCACCCTTGACCTTCACCCTTGACCTTCACCCTTGACCTTCACCCTTGACCTTCACCCTTGACCTTCACCCTTGACCTTCACCCTTGACCTTCACCCTTGACCTTCACCCTTGACCTTCACCCTTGACCTTCACCCTTGACCTTCACCCTTGACCTTCACCCTTGACCTTCACCCTTGACCTTCACCCTTGACCTTCACCCTTGACCTTCACCCTTGACCTTCACCCTTGACCTTCACCCTTGACCTTCACCCTTGACCTTCACCCTTGACCTTCACCCTTGACCTTCACCCTTGACCTTCACCCTTGACCTTCACCCTTGACCTTCACCCTTGACCTTCACCCTTGACCTTCACCCTTGACCTTCACCCTTGACCTTCACCCTTGACCTTCACCCTTGACCTTCACCCTTGACCTTCACCCTTGACCTTCACCCTTGACCTTCACCCTTGACCTTCACCCTTGACCTTCACCCTTGACCTTCACCCTTGACCTTCACCCTTGACCTTCACCCTTGACCTTCACCCTTGACCTTCACCCTTGACCTTCACCCTTGACCTTCACCCTTGACCTTCACCCTTGACCTTCACCCTTGACCTTCACCCTTGACCTTCACCCTTGACCTTCACCCTTGACCTTCACCCTTGACCTTCACCCTTGACCTTCACCCTTGACCTTCACCCTTGACCTTCACCCTTGACCTTCACCCTTGACCTTCACCCTTGACCTTCACCCTTGACCTTCACCCTTGACCTTCACCCTTGACCTTCACCCTTGACCTTCACCCTTGACCTTCACCCTTGACCTTCACCCTTGACCTTCACCCTTGACCTTCACCCTTGACCTTCACCCTTGACCTTCACCCTTGACCTTCACCCTTGACCTTCACCCTTGACCTTCACCCTTGACCTTCACCCTTGACCTTCACCCTTGACCTTCACCCTTGACCTTCACCCTTGACCTTCACCCTTGACCTTCACCCTTGACCTTCACCCTTGACCTTCACCCTTGACCTTCACCCTTGACCTTCACCCTTGACCTTCACCCTTGACCTTCACCCTTGACCTTCACCCTTGACCTTCACCCTTGACCTTCACCCTTGACCTTCACCCTTGACCTTCACCCTTGACCTTCACCCTTGACCTTCACCCTTGACCTTCACCCTTGACCTTCACCCTTGACCTTCACCCTTGACCTTCACCCTTGACCTTCACCCTTGACCTTCACCCTTGACCTTCACCCTTGACCTTCACCCTTGACCTTCACCCTTGACCTTCACCCTTGACCTTCACCCTTGACCTTCACCCTTGACCTTCACCCTTGACCTTCACCTTTGTCCTTCACCCTTGTCCTTCACCCTTGACCTTCACCCTTGACCTTCACCCTTGACCTTCACCCTTGACCTTCACCCTTGACCTTCACCCTTGACCTTCACCTTTGTCCTTCACCCTTGACCTTCACCCTTGACCTTCACCCTTGACCTTCACCCTTGACCTTCACCCTTGACCTTCACCCTTGACCTTCACCCTTGTCCTTCACCCTTGACCTTCACCCTTGACCTTCACCCTTGACCTTCACCCTTGACCTTCACCCTTGACCTTCACCCTTGACCTTCACCCTTGACCTTCACCCATGACCTTCACCCTTGACCTTCACCCTTGACCTTCACCCTTGACCTTCACCCTTGACCTTCACCCATGACCTTCACCCATACCTGTCCATGTGCATGCAAACTTCCATCCTTTCCCTTACATGCCCCTTGGCCCCTTCCCCCCTCTCTGCCTCTGTTCTTCTCGTCGCCCGCCTCCCACGCCCTCTGCGTGCAGAGCTACGAGGTGCGCAAGCTGGTGCTGCACACCAACCTGCCGGGCCAGCCGCACTTCAACCATTATGTCAAGTGCAACTTCCGCATCCCCGCGCCCCACACATGTGCGTTACCCACATCCCTTTCACTCCTCTCCTGTTAACCACCACACCCCCCCCCCCCCGCGCCTCCTCCCCTCGCTTCCTTTCCCCCTAGTAGATGCATCCCCTTCCCTACGACCTCCATGCATGTCATGCCTTCCCTACGACCTCCATGCATGTCATGCCTTCCCTACGACCTCCATGCATGTCATGCCTTCCCTACGACCTCCATGCATGTCATGCCTTCCTTACGACCTCCATGCATGTCATTCCTTCCCTACGACCTCCATGCATGTCATTCCTTTTCACTGCTCTTTTTCCACTCGTATCCCAATCCCATGTGTCCATCACTCTCATCCCCTCACTCGTACAATTCGCATCTCTTCCTCCTATATGCCATGCCCTTCACCGCAACCATGCATGAATCTCCCAGCCCCAGATCCCCCTGCAGGGTCCGACCCATGGCTCTGTGTCACGCCTGACTCCAAGTGGGACCACGTGCAGGTCAGCTCACATGTAACCTTATTCAGGTTACCCACCCATTCGTTTTTTCTTTACCAAGTAAATTCCCCGGCACGATTTGTTTATTGAGGAGGATTGCGATCAATTTACTAAACATCTCACCAATGCTGCGCAGCACATGACAGCACCTGGGTTTATGCATAGCAGAGAGCCTGACATGACATGACACTTTGATGCTTGCCTTTTTTCTATCTTCGGTTCCACAGAAGCTTTTTGGAGGTGGTGGGCGGGCGGCCATACAGACTGCAGGGGCCTTGCACAGGGCCTTTGGGCCCACCTTTGTGTATGGCTTCCGCCACGCCGCATTTGAGGTGAGAGATGCGCACACATGCGCGTACCACAATTTGGATGCAACTATGAAAGTTCCTAAGCGCACATGTTGTGGTGCATGTCGCCGTGTCTACGTGTGTTTATTCGTGAGACCCTGTTGGTTTTCTTGCAGGTGTTGAAGAATGGTCACATCTGTAGAGTCACCCTCTTCAAGGCACAGTGACCTCTTCAGAGCATGTACAGGAAGTTGGCGTCGGTTGTGCCTACCCTCGGCCTTTGCTGTTAGCAGTGCGATCCTTGTTTATATAAATATGTATATAGTATGAATCAATCATGCATGCATACATGGGCAGGAAGTTAACAGTATCTGATAATAAGAATGTGTGTACACTTGTGTAGAATGACACTCTTGCCTTTTTTAAGGGAGTGTCCAGCGCGTACGTTTACAGTTATCCGTCAAGGTGCAAGAGCACATGAAACGGTGCACACCGGTTTTCAAACTTCACCGTTTTGCACTGTGCGTGACACAAATCTATTAACCTCTCAGCTGTCAACGTACGCACTCGACCTGCCCTAATGGTTTGGTTGGATAGTGATTTTATCACAGAGTGATCGTTTTAGAAAAACAGCCTGAAACTCTACTCGCATGGGTTGAGAATGCTGTACTCCAGCTTTTAGGTTGATTGGATTTACAGGGCTCCGAACGTCTGAATTTGCAGCTGCTACATTTCTGTACTGTAGCGCAGATGGTACGGTGCAGCCTTCCTCTCTCGCGCCTCGACCAACTACAGTAGAGTCACACTCCACTCCCTCGCGGCGGCGCACCCAAAGCCTAGGGCCTACGTGGCAGACCCCTCTACTGTGACACTCAGGTATGGTATCAAGGGCCAATCACGTAACGTTCCGTCGTTCGTGCTTCAGGTGCGATATTCTTGCCGTCTCGAGTTAGCCACCTGCTGGCCGTTGGATCAACGATTGGGGTTACTTCTGTTGGTTCCCTCTGGCGGCGGCACCACCACACCTCATGCCGAGGCGAGGCGATTCCCCGAACCAGCCCAGCCCTTGCCCTTCAAGGCTCCCCAACCATCTACCCAACCACCCACCACCACCACCACCACCACCCGCATTTCACATTTCTTCACGCCAATGTTTCCCTGGTCTCAGCAAATACTTCAAACCAAATCGGCCCCACATCTCGTACCCCTTCCTCACCACTGTGATTGTTCTTTCAAGAGACCACCCAGCTGCTCTGCTCTCATCGTGACGCATCGCCTTGCAATACGACCCGCTTTCTTAGCCGCGACGCTTTGACGATTAATATAACATCTGTACATTTGAGCCAGGAATTATTGTCTCGTGGATGCCCAGACAAAGACCGACAATGGGCACGAATTTTTATCCGTCACGCTTCCTCAGTCCGCGACATGCGCTCCTCTCGGTTCTTCTCCTCGTCGCCGTCATCCAATGGCAGTTTTTGACCGCCACAGCGAGTAAGCTTCCTTCTAATATGCAGATATTATTCCCACCGCGCTTCGCCGTTCTACACGCCACGAACTTCTTTTGCGTGTTAACGTCCCTCACCCTGAGTGGCATTCCCCACCCCCCTTGCTTCACCTTTTTGGGTCGTGCTTCGTTTCCACCCTTGCCTTTCAAGAGAACTTATCTCCCCGCAATTCGCCCCTATTCTCCCCGCATTCTCCTCCATCCCTTACCCGCGCAGCGTACTCCACGGGATGCGACCCGGCGACGGCGGCGCTGAAGCCGGCGGGGAAGAACAGCATCTTCCGCTTCGCGAGCGTGAACTACAACGTGGAAACGCGCAAGTGGGGCCTCGCGACGAGCGCCAACTGGACCAATTACCGCACGTCCACCCTCGGCCGAGTCCGTAACCAGGGCTCCTGCGGTACGGCCAACTTTGAGGCACCTTTTTTTAGGCGACTTGTTGTAGGGTTATTGAGGCGCATCAAAAACCGATTACCGCACATCCACCCTCGGCCAAGTCCGCGACCAGGGCTCCTGCGGTAGGGCAAATGTTGAGGCGCCTTTCTTCAGACGACTTTTGTTACGCGCTTTTTGAGGCGCCTCAAAACCCCATTACCGCACGAACATCGCGAATATTCATCCTCTGTCGGCATTGTCGCGGCCGGCTCGTCGATCTGTCGCCATTTACGTCGCACCGACTGGATCCCGCAACGTCCGTGACCGCCCTCCTGTTTCCCCCCCCCCCCCCCCCCGCCCCCCCCCCTCACCTCACCTTTACCCGCATTCTCCTTTCCGCTCCTCTTCCCCCTTCCCCCTCTCCCCTTCCTCTTTCCCCCCCACCCCGTCTCCGCATTTCCCCCGCAACAGGCAGCAGCTGGGCGATGGCGGCGGTGACGGCGGTCGAGCTCGCGTACGCCGTGTCGCGCAACGCGTCGGACTACTCACAGGCGCCGCGGTACCTGTCGACACAGCAGGTGCTGAGCTGCGGCGACAGCAAGAAGGGCAACTGCACGGGCGGCTGGCCCACCACCGCGCTGGACTATGTTGTGAAGACGACGGGGAAATACGGGGGTATGGTGACGGAGGGTAATTACCCCTACACGGGGAACACGTCGTGCACGTACGGCACAAAAGACGACGACGATAGCGGCGGCAATAAGAAGAAGCCGTCTTCGTGCGACACGTCCAAGGTGCGTGGGGGGTGGTCGATGCGTGGTTTCGCGGCGTGGAGTGAAATCGTCTATGATGCCATGGAAGCGCGGGGTAGGAAAGGACGGGTCAGGGAACGGCATGTCCTGAGTCTTGCGGTTCTCGCGTGCTCGTGTGCGTGCGTGCATTCGTGCTGCGCAGGTGAAGAAGAAGGCAACAGCCATCGGCATCAGGTCGTACGAGAGCATCGACTACTACGGCTGGCTCGGGCTCATCCTCGCCGTGCAGGTGCGGGCGTTGAAGGGGGGGATGTTGCCGCGCAGGTCTGTGCAAAGTAGGGGAGGGGGAATGGAGGAATTGTGGAGGGGTGGGGTGCGGGCGGGGTGGGGGTCTAAGGACGCGAAACATTGAAGAGAGACTAAGTAGGGCCTGAGGAAATGGAACCACAACCCCTCACGACAACTTGTGAGACTCACTGCATAAGGACAGGACAGCTATGTCCACTCACAGCCTCTAGCAGTGAGATAACCTCCTCATAATCCCTATGTCAGCCTCTGCCTCTCATCCTCCCTCCGCCTCTCATCCTCCCTCTGCCTCTCATCCTCCCTCTGCCTCTCATCCTCCCTCTGCCTCTCATCCTCCCTCCGCCTCTCATCCTCCCTCCGCCTCTCATCCTCCCTCTGCCTCTCATCCTCCCTCCGCCTCTCATCCTCCCTCTGCCTCTCATCCTCCCTCTGCCTCTCATCCTCCCTCTGCCTCTCATCCTCCCTCCTGCCTCTCATCCTCCCTCTGCCTCTCATCCTCCCTCTGCCTCCCATCCTCCCTCTGCCTCTCATCCTCCCTCTGCCTCTCATCCTCCCTCTGCCTCTCATCCTCCCTCTGCCTCTCATCCTCCCTCTGCCTCCCATCCTCCCTCTGCCTCCCATCCTCCCTCTGCCTCCCATCCTCACTTTGCCTCTCATCCCCCTTTGCCCCGCATACCCTCTCTGCTGATTCCCCTCCGCCCTCGTTCTGCCCCCCACCGCCCATCCCCCAGGTGCATCCGGCCATCGCGCTGGTCAACTCCAAGCCTGACTCCTTCCAAAACTACCAATCGGTACGCCTGCCCCACCCGCCCCCATTATCGTTAGCATCACCACCGATAGAATCACCATCGCTAGCAGTGTAGCACCATACTCATTTGCAGGGTTAAAAAAAAGGACCGTATTTTTGGAATTTTACCGTAAAAAACGGTTTACAACGGTTCCAGGAGGTCATTTTCGTTTGAAGAAAGAAACGGCCGATTTGTGGGACCAAATTGATGGCAAAAGGTACCATGATGAAGAGGACGAACCCCTCCTTGCATGTGTGCGTTTTTGGGCATGATTGAAAATGTATCCGACCTTGTTTTTCCCTTTCTTTTCTTGGTGACAAGAGTTCTCTAGCAAAAAAAACGCTGTAAAAAAAAAAAAACGTAAAAAACGGACCGTGTTTTACGAAAACCGTATTTTTGAACGTTGCTAATTCGCAGCAGCACCAACACCACCAGCACGAGAAGGACCTCCATCACTCACTACTACCGCCGGTGCCTTGCCTTTGCCACCTTCTCCCATCTCTTCACCTCCTTCCTCCCGTTGCCCTGTATTCACTTGGTGTGCACCATTCCATTCCATTCCATTCCATTCCAGCACAGGGCGTGTACTCGGATGCATCGTGCGTGGAGGGGCAGGTGGACCATGCAGTGGTGGTGATGGGCTATACCTTCGCCTCGCCTGGCCCCCTCTGGATCCTCAAAAACTCATGGGGCAAGACGTGGGGCATGCAGGTAGGGGGAAAGAAGGGTCGAAAGGAGGAGGGAAGAGAGGACGGCGAGGAGCGGGGGTCCTTGGTTTTGAGAATGATGGATGAGTGTGCGGTGTGACCGTGCCAGAGTGGCGTTACCCCTCATTCCATGTGAGCCTTTCCCTGTGTCTCTTGGTGCCTTGTGGCTGTGCGCATGGGTAAGTGCTTGAGTGAGCATGTGTGCATGTGGGCATATGGTTGCGTGGGTATGTGGGCATACGGGCACATCTTGCGATGTGTGCATGTTTGGGTTGGTGCGTGTGCCTGCATGCACAAGCCCTACCATTCCCCACGTGCAGGGCTACAGGCATCTGGCCATGCTCCAGGGTCTTGAGTCGACTGAAAAATGCACATGCCCCACTCCCTTGCTGCCCTGCTCCCCACGTGCAGGGCTACATGCACTTAGCCATGCAGGGCGGAACGGGGGCATGCAACATCCACTCCGTGCCGGCACTTGTGCCCGTCATACGCAGTGAGTACACTAGTTTTGAGACGTCTCAAAACGTCATACGCAGTGAGTACACTAGTTTTGAGACGTCTCAAAACGTCATACGCAGTGAGTACACTAGTTTTGAGACGTCTCAAAACGTCATACGCAGTGAGTACACTAGTTTTGAGACGTCTCAAAACGTCATACGCAGTGAGTACACTAGTTTTGAGACGTCTCAAAACGTCATACGCAGTGAGTACACTAGTTTTGAGACGTCTCAAAACGTCATACGCAGTGAGTACACTAGTTTTGAGACGTCTCAAAACGTCATACGCAGTGAGTACACTAGTTTTGAGACGTCTCAAAACGTCATACGCAGTGAGTACACTAGTTTTGAGACGTCTCAAAACGTCATACGCAGTGAGTACACTAGTTTTGAGACGTCTCAAAACGTCATACGCAGTGAGTACACTAGTTTTGAGACGTCTCAAAACGTCATACGCAGTGAGTACACTAGTTTTGAGACGTCTCAAAACGTCATACGCAGTGAGTACACTAGTTTTGAGACGTCTCAAAACGTCATACGCAGTGAGTACACTAGTTTTGAGACGTCTCAAAACGTCATACGCAGTGAGTACACTAGTTTTGAGACGTCTCAAAACGTCATACGCAGTGAGTACACTAGTTTTGAGACGTCTCAAAACGTCATACGCAGTGAGTACACTAGTTTTGAGACGTCTCAAAACGTCATACGCAGTGAGTACACTAGTTTTGAGACGTCTCAAAACGTCATACGCAGTGAGTACACTAGTTTTGAGACGTCTCAAAACGTCATACGCAGTGAGTACACTAGTTTTGAGACGTCTCAAAACGTCATACGCAGTGAGTACACTAGTTTTGAGACGTCTCAAAACGTCATACGCAGTGAGTACACTAGTTTTGAGACGTCTCAAAACGTCATACGCAGTGAGTACACTAGTTTTGAGACGTCTCAAAACGTCATACGCAGTGAGTACACTAGTTTTGAGACGTCTCAAAACGTCATACGCAGTGAGTACACTAGTTTTGAGACGTCTCAAAACGTCATACGCAGTGAGTACACTAGTTTTGAGACGTCTCAAAACGTCATACGCAGTGAGTACACTAGTTTTGAGACGTCTCAAAACGTCATACGCAGTGAGTACACTAGTTTTGAGACGTCTCAAAACGTCATACGCAGTGAGTACACTAGTTTTGAGACGTCTCAAAACGTCATACGCAGTGAGTACACTAGTTTTGAGACGTCTCAAAACGTCATACGCAGTGAGTACACTAGTTTTGAGACGTCTCAAAACGTCATACGCAGTGAGTACACTAGTTTTGAGACGTCTCAAAACGTCATACGCAGTGAGTACACTAGTTTTGAGACGTCTCAAAACGTCATACGCAGTGAGTACACTAGTTTTGAGACGTCTCAAAACGTCATACGCAGTGAGTACACTAGTTTTGAGACGTCTCAAAACGTCATACGCAGTGAGTACACTAGTTTTGAGACGTCTCAAAACGTCATACGCAGTGAGTACACTAGTTTTGAGACGTCTCAAAACGTCATACGCAGTGAGTACACTAGTTTTGAGACGTCTCAAAACGTCATACGCAGTGAGTACACTAGTTTTGAGACGTCTCAAAACGTCATACGCAGTGAGTACACTAGTTTTGAGACGTCTCAAAACGTCATACGCAGTGAGTACACTAGTTTTGAGACGTCTCAAAACGTCATACGCAGTGAGTACACTAGTTTTGAGACGTCTCAAAACGTCATACGCAGTGAGTACACTAGTTTTGAGACGTCTCAAAACGTCATACGCAGTGAGTACACTAGTTTTGAGACGTCTCAAAACGTCATACGCAGTGAGTACACTAGTTTTGAGACGTCTCAAAACGTCATACGCAGTGAGTACACTAGTTTTGAGACGTCTCAAAACGTCATACGCAGTGAGTACACTAGTTTTGAGACGTCTCAAAACGTCATACGCAGTGAGTACACTAGTTTTGAGACGTCTCAAAACGTCATACGCAGTGAGTACACTAGTTTTGAGACGTCTCAAAACGTCATACGCAGTGAGTACACTAGTTTTGAGACGTCTCAAAACGTCATACGCAGTGAGTACACTAGTTTTGAGACGTCTCAAAACGTCATACGCAGTGAGTACACTAGTTTTGAGACGTCTCAAAACGTCATACGCAGTGAGTACACTAGTTTTGAGACGTCTCAAAACGTCATACGCAGTGAGTACACTAGTTTTGAGACGTCTCAAAACGTCATACGCAGTGAGTACACTAGTTTTGAGACGTCTCAAAACGTCATACGCAGTGAGTACACTAGTTTTGAGACGTCTCAAAACGTCATACGCAGTGAGTACACTAGTTTTGAGACGTCTCAAAACGTCATACGCAGTGAGTACACTAGTTTTGAGACGTCTCAAAACGTCATACGCAGTGAGTACACTAGTTTTGAGACGTCTCAAAACGTCATACGCAGTGAGTACACTAGTTTTGAGACGTCTCAAAACGTCATACGCAGTGAGTACACTAGTTTTGAGACGTCTCAAAACGTCATACGCAGTGAGTACACTAGTTTTGAGACGTCTCAAAACGTCATACGCAGTGAGTACACTAGTTTTGAGACGTCTCAAAACGTCATACGCAGTGAGTACACTAGTTTTGAGACGTCTCAAAACGTCATACGCAGTGAGTACACTAGTTTTGAGACGTCTCAAAACGTCATACGCAGTGAGTACACTAGTTTTGAGACGTCTCAAAACGTCATACGCAGTGAGTACACTAGTTTTGAGACGTCTCAAAACGTCATACGCAGTGAGTACACTAGTTTTGAGACGTCTCAAAACGTCATACGCAGTGAGTACACTAGTTTTGAGACGTCTCAAAACGTCATACGCAGTGAGTACACTAGTTTTGAGACGTCTCAAAACGTCATACGCAGTGAGTACACTAGTTTTGAGACGTCTCAAAACGTCATACGCAGTGAGTACACTAGTTTTGAGACGTCTCAAAACGTCATACGCAGTGAGTACACTAGTTTTGAGACGTCTCAAAACGTCATACGCAGTGAGTACACTAGTTTTGAAACATCCAACGGGGGCATGCAACATCCACTCCGTGCCGGCACTTGTGCCCGTCATACGCAGTGAGTACACTAGTTTTGAGACGTCTCAAAACGTCATACGCAGTGAGCACACAATCATGCTCGGCAGGCACGAACGCGTTTGCACATGTATCACGCCCTCAACCCCCTTTTCCCCTATCCTCCTATCCTCCTCACCCTCTTTCTCTTACCCCTCCCCCCACCGATCCCCCTCCTCCTCCCACCCTTCACCCCCAGACTCGGATCCGTGCAGTCTGCTGGTGAATCCCTGTGGGGGAGGAGAGTGCATTCCCCGCAGCAGTGGCAAGTACAAGTGCAACTGCCCACCTCAGTTCATCAAAGTCAAGAACTCCGATGGCACCGAGTCCTGCACGCCAGGTGGGCCCTTGCACCCTGCACCCACCCCGTGTGTAAAGTACTCTGACTGACGGCATCCCTGCACCACTCCCCCACGCCAGGAGTTGATCCCGTCATCACCTTCACTTCACCTGTGCTCACTTCATTACTTATCCCCTCCAAAGAAATCCCTGGCCCTCTTCTCCCTCCCTCCCTTCTGAGAATTCTCGTAAGTAACCCTGGCGCTGTTCTCCCTCTCCCCTCCCCTCCCACCTGCAGTGGTGGTGTGCACGAGAGCGGACATCAACCCATGTGGAGTGGGAACGTGTCTCAACGACGGCAAGGGCAGTCACACGTGCCTCTGCCCACGCGGTTTCACGCTCGGCACAATCGCTGTCGGCTCCGATACCTGCGTGCCCTGTAAGGCCCTCACGCATATGCCTCCCTGCGTGTCCTGTAAAGTAAAGCTGGTGAGGATATACCTCGCTGCAAGGCTGCCAGTGCTATTTAAGCCCCCCCGGGCATACACCCCGTTTACACTCTCTATAAACACAGTAAGGAAGCTGTTTAATTTGAGGCTTGGCAGCATGGGTTGATGTTTTGGGTGGATTCAAAGCACGGGTTGATGTTTTGAGTGGATTCAAAGCACGTGTTGATGTTTTGAGTGGATTCAAAGCACTTGTTGATGTTTTGAGTGGATTCAAAGCACGTGTTGATGTTTTGAGTGGATTCAAAGCACTTGTTGATGTTTTGAGTGGATTCAAAGCACTTGTTGATGTTTTGAGTGGATTCAAAGCACGTGTTGATGTTTTGAGTGGATTCAAAGCACGTATTGATGTTTTGAGTGGATTCAAAGCACGTGTTGATGTTTTGAGTGGATTCAAAGCACGTGTTGATGTTTTGAGTGGATTCAAAGCACGTGTTGATGTTTTGAGTGGATTCAAAGCACTTGTTGATGTTTTGAGTGGATTCAAAGCACGTGTTGATGTTTTGAGTGGATTCAAAGCACGTGTTGATGTTTTGAGTGGATTCAAAGCACGTGTTGATGTTTTGAGTGGATTCAAAGCACGTGTTGATGCTTTGAGTGGATTCAAAGCACGTGTTGATGTTTTGAGTGGATTCAAAGCACGTGTTGATGTTTTGAGTGGATTCAAAGCACGTGTTGATGATGTACACGACTCGCTCACACGCCGCTGCATGCACAGATAGTACCGGCTCTTTCTGCACACCCGCCACGAGTACTCCCAGACCCGACTTATACCAATAACTTCTAAAGAGCACCAAGGTGTGGCTCACGGTGCCGGCAAAAGTGGTGCACGGGCTCTTGAGCTTCCCTTCCCTCTTTCCTTGCCCATTCACACCACACCTCCTTCCCCCAGCGGACAAGAGCATAAAGAGCATCAAGATGCCACTCACAGTGCCGGCCAAGGTGGTGTATGGGCTCTACGGCATTCCCAAGGACCAGTTCTTCAAGCAGAACCCCGACCTGGTAACCCTCTGACTCTGTAGTGGTTACCCTGCTACCCCATACTGGTCACAATGTTTGCACTGTCCTGACCTGGTAACCCGTATTCCTGCTCTGGTAACCTGGTTACCCTGTAACCTTGCCCGTCCCCTGCTGCACTGCTTCTCACCCCCATCTCTCCTCATTCCCTCTCCTCTCCTGTATCTCGCCCACCCCCTATCTCCCTCTTCCCTCCCTTCACACCCCTCCACAACTCCATCCATCTCCACCCATTTCAACCGTGCCAGGACTCGTGTGAGAGCAATATAAAGAAGGGGAAGAAGGTGAACGTGAAGGCCACCTCGGATACCATCAACTGCGCGCTCTTCTACCCCTGGAACTGGGTATACCCCCCCCCCCCCCCTCCCCTCCCACCCCCCCTCTTCTCCTTCCCCTCACGTGCTCCAGACGTGTCTCAAACGACCCGTTTCACCCCTGGAACTGGGTATGCTCAGCATACGTGCAAAGCCGAATGTGTGCACAGTGCAATGCAAATAGCGTGAGCTGCAGTGCACACACATTGCTCTCAGAACCCACTCCCGCCATTCCCGCCGCTGCAACGCACCCCACCTCCCTTCAACTTTATTTTCATCCCTTTAACCTTCCACCTCGCTCCTCTCTCTCCCCCATCCCTCCCCTCCTCCCCAAACCCCCCAACAGGGCAATCGCTGTGGGCCAGTGGCAGCGCTGTTTGGCATCACATCGCTCGCCTCACGGCACCCAACCCGGGGCTCACCAGATTGCTCTGCCTGGGACCCCCAATCCCGCCCATCCATCCCCTCTGCACCCCCTCTTCCCTCCCCCTCCCCCCCTCTTCCATCCCAACAGGGCAATCGCTGTGGGCCGGTGGCAGCGCTGTTTGGCATCACCATCGCTCGCCTCAAGGCTCTCAACCCGGGGCTCACCTGCCCCAAGGGCGCCTACCCGGGCCAGCAGGTGTGTAGAGTGTGGTGCAGTGTGAGCGCAGTGCAGTGCAGTGTGAGCGCAGTGCAGTGCAGTGTGAGCGCAGTGCAGTGCAGTGCGGTGCAGTGCAGTGTGAGCACAGCGCGGTGCAGCGCGGTGCGGTGCAGTGCAGGGCACCTACTCACCATCTTGCGTCTCAAGGAGCTCAACCCAAGCCTCACCTGCCTTACTGGGGCGTACCCGGGCCGGCAGGTACGTGCAGACAGCCCAGGCCAGGCTTTGTCAACACGGCTTGGTTGAGTGCGGTGCAGTGCCATGCAGTGCAACGCAGCGATATGCAAAAATCCAAATGGCAGTGCAGTACAGAGCACAGCTGCCTCTACCCATGGTGGCCTGACCCATACACCCACCCTCCTCTCCACCCCCCCCTCTCACCCCGTGCCCACTCTCTCCTCCCCTCCAGATATGTGTGCAGGAGGGCAGCGGGCTGGCCATCCCCCTGTGCGCGCAGTACCACGTGATCGCATCACCTGACACGTGTGTCAGCATCAGGCAGCAGTACGGCCTCTCCTGGTCCACCTACTTCGCTCTCAACCCCGGTGTCTTCTGTGCCAACCTCTACCCCGCTGCCACTATCGACGGCGTAAACGCCATTCCCAGTGGCGCACAGGTGGGTTGTGAGGGGGTTGGCTGCATTTAATAAGCGGCTGTCCCCAGCACCCCACCCTACCTTCCTCAAATGGTCCACCCACTTGGCCCTCAACCCCGGAGTCTTGTGTGCCATCTATCCCGCTGCGATGGTTGATGGGGCGAACGCCACTCCCAGTGAGTCAATTGCGCATAAGAGAGGGTTGATTGGTTGCATGTTGAAAGGGGGTTGCATGTTGAAAGGGGGTTGCATGTTGAAAGGGGGTTGCATGTTGAAGGGGGGTTGCATGTTGAAAGGGGGTTGCTCCCCCACCCACCACCACTCCCTCCTACACCCCTCACACACCCACCGCCACTCCCTCCACCCCTCACACACCCACCACCCCTCCTTCCTACTCCCTTTTCACACCCTCCACCCCTCTGTTCTCCTATTTCCCTTCTTCCCTGCCCGCCTCTCCCTCAGATCTGTGTGAAGGCGGCTTTCAACGCAACAATCAACTATCTCGCACCCCAAGACACATCGGCTATGCCTTACAACTCTGCATACGCTGGCCTTCTGACTGCGCAGCACCACTCCCTCCTTGACTCCTCTCACGCCTCTGGCCTGCTCGCCGCCCACAGCTTGCCTCGGCAGCAGCAGAATCAGCAGCAAGGTCAGCAGCAACAGCTGCAGCAAGTGCAGCCGCTGCAGAGGAGGGGGCGGTGTCAGGCGTCGTACACGGTGGTGAGGGGAGACTTCTGTGCGCGCATCATAGCCCTCAAGTTCCAGTACAACACGCGCCGCATGGCTTCTCTCAACAATGGCTACGTCTGCATCAACACTCGCCTCTTCGTGGGCCTCGTGCTCTGCACCTTCCGCTAGCTGTATGCTTGGCTCACCAGTGGGTGCCTAGTCATCTGGGTTTCAGCAGTTCGCACCCATCATCTCTCTCTCCACTCCCGATGCAACACGACGTGCGGGAGACACGGAGTATGGTGGATCTCCACTGCGAATATGCCTGGCCTGGCAGTGGCACCACCGATGCTTGGCTCTCTGTGAGCCGCGTGCTCTGCTCTGCTGCACCTTCTGCCAGCTGCCTTCTGAGTCTGGTCGATAGTCTGCGTGCATCGTGCTCAACTTAGCGTCTGCAGGCGGCGTTCAGTGTGAGGGTTGCCATGCATGGCATTGTTTAGATAGTATACCGTATCTGACTGCACGGCTGATTTAGATGCTGATTTAGTGACAGCCTAGGATTCAAAGTAGGGGGATGGTGTGATTCGTTAGAGGAAATAAATATATATGGTACATGTTAGGAACATCCTAGGAATCCTAGGAATCCTAGCTAAGGTAGAGCATCTTAGGAACATCCTTAGAAGCCATAGCTTTAGGGTTGAGAGGCACTAGGCATGAATGTCGAGAGAGTTTGAGCAAAAGTGTCTGTTTCACTGTTGAGCAAGGTGCAAATAGGGAACAAGGGAGGTGCACCACCTACAGGAAATACCTCAAAGAGTACAGTAACTACAGCAAACAGTTTATATAATAAACATAAGTTTAACATACCCCCTAAACTGTTAGCTGCAGGAACCAGTACAAGGACACCCCCTGAAGCGGTACACCAGGCGCAGCGAAGGAAGGAGAGGGAAAGTGAAGAGGAGGGACCATGAGAGGAGAGGAGGTGGTGGGTGGCGGCTGAATCTGCTGGCACACGGGCAAATGGAGCAACTGGCACACGGGCAACTGGAGCAACTGGCACACTGGCAAATGGAGCAACTGGCACACTGGCAAATGGAGCAACTGGCACACTGACAAATGGAGCAACTGGCACACTGGCAAATGGAGCAACTGGCACACGGGCAAATGGAGCAACTGGCACACTGGCAACTGGAGTAACTGGCTCCGCGGCTAAGCGAGCGGCTGGAGCAACTGACTCACGGGCGACAGGAGCAACGGGCTCACGGGCAACCCCTACCGCCACTCCCTCATCTCCCCCACACCCTCCCCCCCCCCACAGCGGCATGTGCAGCAGTGGGAGAGAGAGGAGGAGAGGCAGCAGCAGTTCACTCACACCCGCCACCCCCATACCCTCCCCCCACTGCTGCACCTGCAGCAGGGGGGTGGAGGAGAAGGGGGGGGGGGCGGGGGGGCTGGTGCTGCAGATCCCCTCCCCCCACTGCTGCACCCGCAGCAGGGGGATGGAGGAGAAAGGGGGGGCGGGGGGGCTGGTGCTGCAGATCCCTTCCTGCCACCCCCTTAACCTCCAAGCTCCCCCCCCTCTCCCGACACAACAACAAGTGCGGCAGGGAGAGAGAGGAGGAGGTGGTGGGCGGCTGACTACGCACACCCGCCACCCTCATACCCTCCCCCCCACTGCTGCACGCGCAGCAGGGGGATGGAGGAGAAAGGGGGGCGGGGGGGGCGGTGTAGGAGCTGCTCGGGCGACAGCAGGGCGCGCGACGGGCAGGAAACCGTCTTGCGCCACACCCGCCACCTCCATACCCTCCCCCCCACTGCTGCTCGCGCAGCAGGGGGATGGAGAAGAAAGGGGGGGGGGCGGGGGGGCGGTGCAGGAGCCGCGCGGGCGACAGCAGGGCGAGCGACGGGCAGGAAAACCGTCGTTCGCCACCCCCGCCACCCCCATACTCTCCCCCCAACAGCTGCACGTGTAGCATGTTGGGCTGAGTGCCCCTTAGGATCTTTGGTAGGGTTAAACTCTGGGTAGAGTGATGTAGTAGCGGAAGCGTTTAAATGAAGTCCTTGAACCACCTTGCGCTGGTATGTGAGGGCAAAGTAAGTTGATTAAAACAAGCAAGTACAAAGGTTTATATAAGAGTACAAAGAATACGAAGAGATATAATTAAACTGTTTTACTGTTGCGGTTCGATACAGTGCGACTCGGGCAACTGCTCAATGTCGAGTCAGTTGTGTGTCCTTGCTGTCGCGCTGCATTTGTCAAGTCAAAGGTCGCTGACCTTTGACTTTCGCGTAACCTCCAGCGGTTACTTCAACCTCCGAGGGTTGACTCGTTGGTGCCTCGATATGCTCTGCTTCGCTTGTGCCTTGGTGTTTCGACACGACAGAGGCGCTTAAGATTGTTTGTTCCCAACACTCCCCTTCGCTTCTGGAGTGTCGCTGCTGGTGACGTGGCTTTGTCCAGCCAGCAGCATGCAGTACTCGAACTTCTGTTTTCCGAGCTTCTTGGTCAAGTAGTCAGCTGCCATCTCGGACGTGGGACAGTAGGATAGTTCAAGTCTCCCCTTCTCAATCTCGTCTTTCACGAAGAAATATCGCAGAGCGATATGCTTCGTTCTGTTCGCGAATCCATTTTTGTTGGCGATGCGAATTGCAGATTGGTTGTCGCAGAACAGAGTGAAGTTGGGTAACTCGGCTAACTTCGCTTCTTCCAGCAGCTCGCGAAGATAGAGTCCTTCCTTGGTGGCTGAGCAGAGTGCAATATATTCTGCTTCAGCTGACGAGAGAGCAATTAATTCCTGCTTGCTCGATTGCCAGGAGATCGGTCCGATAGGTTCGAGGCGGTAGATGTAGCCAGTGCGGGAGCGCCTGTTGTCGGAGTCGCCAGCGTGATCAGCGTCGACGTAGCCGATTAATTTAGTCGGTGTAGTTGTGTTCTTGTAGTAAGTTAGGCCGATCGTTGAGGTACTGACGAAGTACTGGAGAGCGCGGTCGAGCTCCGCCAGGTGTTCTGCTTCAGGCTTCTTGAGGTAGGTGGCGAGCTGGCTTGCGGAGTATGAGAGGTCGGGGCGGCAGGTGACAGCTGCGAAGAGAAGGCATCCTAGCTTTCTCTGGTAGTCGCGTATCCCGGCGGATTTGAGTAGAGAGGATCCTTCCTTGTGGTTTCCTGTCGCGTAGCGGTAGGGCGTAGAGATGGTGGTAGGTGTGAGCGCGAAGCGTTTGGCGATGGTGTCGGCGTACTTAGCGGCGTTGAGGTAGATCGCGCCTTCTTCTTCCCGAATGTTCAAGCCGAGGTACTGTGTGACGGTAGAGGAGACCGTGAGTGTGAGGTCCCTCTGTAGCTCCCCTTCGAACCAGGTGGTGATGTCGTCAGTGGAGCCGATGTAGAGTAGGTCGTCTACGTAGACGATCAGCAGAATGTAGTCGGTGTCTTTAGTGAGTCGGTACATTCCTTGGTCGTGAGGTAGTTGGCGGAATCCGATGCGAATGAGGCGAGCGTGTAGGTACTGTTGCCATAGCCGCGGAGCTTGCTTGATCCCGTTAAGTGATTTCAGCAGTTGACAGACTTGGTTAGGTTCCCCGTTGGTACCGTGTGGGAGCTCGACGAAGATTTCCACGTCGACAGGTGCGTAGAGGAACGCGTTGGCGACATCGATTTGCCGTAGCTTCCTTTTCTTCATGGCGGCGATCGCGAGGAGGATTCGAAGTGAGGTATGTCGGCTAACCGGGGCGAATGTCTCGGTGAAGTCCCGTCCGTGCTCCTGATCGAATCCACGCACAACCCAGCGTGCTTTGAACTTCTCAATTGTGCCGTCTGCTTTTGTTTTAACGCGGAAGACCCATTTCCCGGTGAGAATGGTCTTGTTCCTTGCCACGCTGATGGGGACAACTTTCCAGGTGTTCCGTTCCTCCAGCGCCTTTAACTCTCTGTCCATGGCTTCACGCCATTTTTCCCTGTGTTCCCCCCCCAGAGCCTGCTGAACCGTCGCAGGCTCCTTAGGAAGAGTGTTGCCGTGGACTGCGGTGACGAGTCCGAGAATCTGCAGTCCAGTCTGTGAGTAGCGGGGAAGAGTTGCATCCTCGGGATAAGCTGCTTCATCTCCCGCTTCTGGATCAGGTATGAAATTCGGTCCTACTCGTTCTGCTTCGTTGGTGTTGACTGTCGCAGGTGTTACGTAACCGTTGTCGGCGAAGTAGTAGAAGGTTTCGGCGTTGACACTTTCGCAAGGGTTATCTTCGTCCATGGGGACGTCGACGGAGCAGAACGGAAGGGGTCCAGCTTCTTCTGATGCGTTGGCCACATTCTGCTCGTCCCAGTCAGCTTCGTCTGCTGCCGAGGCGAAGGCTCGGTCACCACGAAAACCACCTGTGGGATCTTGGTCCTCTTGCAGGTTGGCAAGGTATGTCTGGAGCGTGAATCGTTCGTAGAAAATGACGTCGCGTGCTGCTACTGTTTCCTTGGACTGGACGTCAAAGATTTTCCACGCGTTGTAGTTCTTTTTGATGCCGAGGTGTAGTCCCCACTGTGCGCGTTGTGAAAATCGGCCCGCTCGTGCTGCTGGGGGTCGGTACTGTACCATGCATCCGAACACTCGTAACATTTTTGTGCTGCCCTGTTTTCCTGTCCACAGCAGATGCGGTGATGCGTTGTTCGGTAGTGATGAAGATGAGAGCAAGTTGTGCAGCATGACAGCGTGGTCCATCGCGTCAGGCCACTGGTGGTTGGGTAGCCGCATGCCACGCAACAGTTTGCGCATGCTGTTCTGCAGAGTCCTGTTCATTCTTTCTGCTACACCTTGCTGCTGATGGGCGTAGGGAAGAGAGAGGAGCTGCTTGATTCCCCTTTCCGCCAGGTACTGCTTGAATCGCTGAGAGGTGTATTCTCCTCCTCCGTCAGACTGGAAGCTTTTCAGCTTTACGCCCGACTCTCTTTCTGCTACTGGTAGCCAAGCAGCGAATGCTTCAAGGACCATGTCGCGGCTGGGTAGGTTTAGATGCCAGACGTAACGGGTGGCGGCGTCGATGAAGGTGATTGTGTAGTTGTATATTACTTGTCCTGGTTCCCGATTGTACAGGATGTCGCTATACACCTTTTCGAGTGGTGCGTACGCGGGTGTGCTCGGGTTGTGATGAGGAGTGAACGGCCGATGTGGTAAGTCGGCTTCGGGGCAGGTAAGACATGTTCCTCGTGCCCGTTGAAGTTCTCTGCCGTCGAGTAGTAGTAACGAGTCCTTGTCAAGGACTCCTGCTCTTATTGTGTTGTTTAACACAGTGTTGCTTGGGTGTCCCATGCGTGCGTGCCAGATGTCTTCGGAGGCGCGGTGTCCGGGTGAGCGTCGATACGCGTCGGAGTTGGAGTAGAAGCTGGCGGTGAAGTTTGCGCTTCTATGGACTTCCCGTTGAGCCGGATTCAGCTGCTGTGCGGGTGTTGGTGGTGCTTCGTCAACGAGGAGTGGTGTCGTTGTTGCTGCTACTGTTGTTGTTCCTGCTACTGCCGATGATGTCTCTGCTGCTGCCGATGATGTCTCTGCTGCTGCCGATGTTGTCTCTGCTGCTGCCGATGTTGTCTCTGCTGCTGCCGATGTTGTCTCTGCTGCTGCCGATGTTGTCTCTGCTGCTGCCGATGTTGTCTCTGTTGCTGCCGATGTTGTCTCTGCTGCTGCCGAATGTTGTATTGTTACTAACGCACGTGTTCGTTCTGCTTCAGGAATGGTATGTGAATACCAAAAGCCTTCCGGACTGAAGTCGGGGTCGAGATCCGGCGGGTGCGTCCAAGATGTGAAGGTGACGATCCCGTCACTGTCTGCGGTGCCCAGGTCTGGGACGAAATCGAGAACGAAGACATTGTTCTTCAGGACCGCCTTTCCGATGTAGAGGCCGCCCTTCCCGTGGTACAGCTTGAACTCCTGGGTGGTACTGTCGGCTTCCAGATGTATGCCTTTCGCCATCAACTGACTGACGCTCAGTAAGTTGTAGCCAAGTCCTTCTGCTATTAGGACTTTGGACATTTGCAGTATGACATTCGTCTCTCGTGACTGAAGTTGCACTACTCCTTGTCGTCATGTGCGCAGGTTCTGATTATTGGCGACAGTGATGACGACTTCTCGTTGAAGTTGGTGCTCGCGTTGAACGAAACGTCCTGAAGAGCACATATGTTGTCCGCAGCAACTGTCCAAGAACCATGTATCCTTCCCGGACGGCTCGCTTTGAGCGATGGCGGCGTACGTCGGGTTCGGTTGAAGTGACTCGCGGCGAGGCGTGCTGTTGTCGAGTTGTTCTTCTGGTGAGTAATATGGTGGTGACTCAGTTACGCAGGAGTCACTCAGCCTTGCCATGCAGCTGACGATGTTTCTTGTTCCTTTCGCAGGTTGTCCCGTCGATGTTGTTGAGACTTGTACTGAAGTTGTCGGAGTTGCTTGCGTTGAGGCGACTTGACTGCTTGAAGGGCGAAGTTGGCGTTGCGGCGACGTTGACTGTTGTCGATTCGGGCAGTGCGTACGAGGATGCCCTGAAGTCTTGCAGAGGTGGCAGAACGGAGGTACGATTTTCGGTCGATTGTTGTTGTTGTTGTGGCGCCGTTGAGTGTGAAACGCGAATTCGGGCACTGATACCTTTCTCTTGTGTCGTTCTTCTTGCAGGTCCATGTCTTGCTGCTCGGCGTGGATTTCGGCGCAAAGTGCTGCTTCAGAAATTTTCCCGTGGGCTCGTAGTATGGTGCGAGTGGAGCGCCAGTGAGGACCAAGACCGCCGATGACAACCGTGACGAAGGCGTCCTCTGAAATCGATCATCCACATCGAAGAAGCTTGTCGCGCAGCTCGCGGCAGCGACTGATATACGCCATTCCCTTCTCGCCTAGTTTCATTTCGATTGTTGTCAGCTGCGCCATTAACCGACTTTGGTTTACGCTGTCTGTTGCTTGATACAGGCTCTTCAAGTGATTGTACGCGAGCTCCGCGGAGTTGCCGTAGCCTCGGTAAGACCGTATGTTTTGTTGTTGAGTTGGAGTGATGTTCCTCAGTAGTATCGTGTACGCCATCATCGATTGATAGGTGTACTGCTGCTTCTCATACTGTGTGCCGTTTGTTGGGTATGGCAGGGACCCGTCGAAGAAGCCAAGGATTTGCGCTCCTTCCATCATCAGCTCGAATTCGAACGACCAGGTAAAGAAATCCTTCCCGTCGAAGGGTTTTGTCGTTTGCAGTTTTAGAACGTGCGCGAACTGCGACTGAACTTGTAGTGCGTCCAGCGTTCTCTCTTGTCCCGGTGCAGGTTGTGGTTGTGGCATGAAGCTGACGGAGCCGCGCTGGGGCTCGTACGGAGCGAAGGTAGGTTGCTGTTGTTGATTCCCGCGTGCGTAGGATGAGCCATCGAGACTCATGGGCGTCACGTTGTTGTTGTTGTTGCTGTTGTTTGATTGCGCAGGTGCTCCTTGCTGATGCTGCTCGTAGAAGGACATGAAGGAGAAGAACTTCTCCATCATGCTTGGATCGAAGCCCGCGCCTTGGTTTGCGGGTGTTTCAGTAGACCCAGCTGCCGGTCTCGTTGTTGTGCCTTCCTCTGTCTGTAGGCCAGAGGCAGGAGGTGGAGTAGGAGTAGTACCAGGAGAGCCGTTGGAGGAGCTCCTCTCCTTTCTGGTAGACATGTCTCTTGGTGTATTAGGTGTTAAGGAGAAATAATTTTAACCCTAACCAGCTCTCATACCATGTTGGGCTGAGTGCCCCTTAGGATCTTTGGTAGGGTTAAACTCTGGGTAGAGTGATGTAGTAGCGGAAGCGTTTAAATGAAGTCCTTGAACCACCTTGCGCTGGTATGTGAGGGCAAAGTAAGTTGATTAAAACAAGCAAGTACAAAGGTTTGTATAAGAGTACAAAGAATACGAAGAGATATAATTAAACTGTTTTACTGTTGCGGTTCGATACAGTGCGACTCGGGCAACTGCTCAATGTCGAGTCAGTTGTGTGTCCTTGCTGTCGCGCTGCATTTGTCAAGTCAAAGGTCGCTGACCTTTGACTTTCGCGTAACCTCCAGCGGTTACTTCAACCTCCGAGGGTTGACTCGCTGGTGCCTCGATATGCTCTGCTTCGCTTGTGCCTTGGTGTTTCGACACGACAGAGGCGCTTAAGATTGTTTGTTCCCAACATAGCAGGGGGGTGGAGGAGAAGGGGGGGGGGGGGGGGGGGGGCGGGGGGGCGGTTTAGGAGCTGCGCGGGCGACAGCAGGGCGCGCGACGAGCAGGAAACTGTCGTGCGCCCCGCCTGCCACCCCCATACCCTCCCCCTCTGCTGCACGATCAGCAGGGGGATGGAGGAGAAGGGGGGGGCGGGGGGGGGTGGGGGGGGCGGAGTAGGGGCTGCGCGGGCGACAGCAGGTCGCACGACGAGCATGGCGCACGACGGGCAGAAAACCGCCGGGCGCCCGGGGCGCGCGACAGGCAGCAGGGTGGTGCATTGGAAGCATAGGGTGGGCCCAATGAGAATGGTCCTAGATCGGAACTCACTCTGATAGCATGTTAGAATCCTAGCTAAGGTAGAGTATCTTAGGAACATCCTTAGAAGCCATAGCTTTAGGGTTGAGAGGCACTAGGCATGAATGTTGAGAGTTTGAGCAAAAGTGTCTGTTTCACTATTGAGCAATGTACAAACAGGGAACAAGGGAGGTGCACCACCTACAAGAAATACCTCAAACACTACAGTAACTACAGCAAACAGTCTATATAATAAACATAAGTTTAACACATGTAAGGAATACAGGATATGTTTGGGAACTTTTACTGTTCATCATATATGTATTGGTGAATTGTACGATCTGGTTTCCCGTCATCAGTGTGAGTTAAAGAGGGCTATTCTTTCTTTTACAGCATGCAGATAAGGAGCGATAAATGCAGCAAACTCGTCTAACCCTGCAGCAGCACCCGAACCACTCCCCACGCCAACGTTCCCCACGCCAACGTTCCCTGAATTATTGCTCCCCCCACCCACCCTAGACCCTGCACCGGAAGCATCATGCTTTGGAAAGAGAAACTCAGCAGAGGGTGAGCGGACCAGCCCCACACGGTACCCTGCCAGCCACGCCTGCACACACAGCACCCACGCACCGAGGCTGCGGCTGCTGCTGCTCGCACCTCCCTGCTCCTCGCCTGCTGCCCCCATCCCTCCCCCCTGCAGAGGTGCAAGCGAGCCCAGGGAGAGAAGGGCAGAACGGCGGATGGCTAGAGGTGTGCCCTGCACCCACCCCCTGTAGGTCACACGAGACACTGGGTTGCTGCTGCTGCCACTGCTGCTGTCGCCTGTGGGGATGCCACTGGTGCGGTTGGCAGTGGAGCTGTGAGGTTCCTGACCCAGGTTGGCCCAGACCCTCATATGCCGCTCCACTTCTCCCCATCCGCCTCCCACTCCCTCCACCCTCCCTCCCTCTCTCACACCACCCTCCCCGTTCCCACCACCACCACCCCTGCCCACCACTCCCTCCCCAACCAACCCCTTCCCATCCCTCCCCACCTCTCCTTCACCCCCTCCTCCCACGAACCCAGCCACAGCGAGCCTACCATCCCCCTGAAACGCCCTCTGCAGCGCCAGCAGCCACTCACAGCTCCCAGCGTCCTGCCCCAGCCCCCCCTGCGCCCTCCTCACCACTGCCTCAGCATTTTGCCCTGTCAGGAGCACCAGCACCTTCCCCCTTGCCGCCCGAGCAAGAAAATCAAACTTCTCAGAATCTGAGGCGAGGGGAGCGGCAGTGCGAAAGGCATGGAGCCCTGATCCTGATTGTGCTGATGCTGATTGTGAAGATGCCGATGCTGATGGTGCCGATGCCGACGCTGCTGATGCTGACGAAGGCACCACCACGGGCAGCACTGTGAGTCGTTGCTCCTCCACTGCCCACGCTGCCTGGCTCCATGCTGCCACCCGCTCCCACTCCCCACCCTCCCCACCCTCCCCATTCCCCACTCCTCCCTGCCCCATCAAACCGCCCTGCACCCTGCCCTGCCCACCCTGCCCCTCTCGCCCCACAGTCACCAGCACAAGCAGCTCTGCAGGCACGCCCAGTGCACTGCCCGTGGCATTGAACCCCACGTGCCGCATGCACCCCACTACCACCTCCACCAATGCCCGTGCATCCATCCCCGTTCCCTTTCCCCCTGCTGAAGGCTGGGAGAGAGGGTCTGGTAGGAGCAGGAAGGAGAACTCTGGCTGTCGCCCCATCCGCCCCACACTCGCTCTCTCCCCTTCAATCCTCCTCGCGGTTGCCTCTGGTGTCTCTTGCCCCCCCCGTTCCCCTTCCGCCCTCTTCTGCCCTCGCCACCCCCTTATCTCCTCCCGTCCTTTGTCTCTCGAGGTCTCTTTCACTCTCACTCCCCCCCATCCCTCTCGCCCTCAAATCTATATCCTTCTCCATCCCCCCCTCATGCAATCCCTCCCTCCTCCACACCTCCCCAGGCACCACCAGCCCCGCATGCTGCCTATACTCGCCGCCCACCGCCGCCCAATCCACGCACCACTTGTCAAACGCGGACTCCGCCACCCACCGGTACCGCTGCAGGGCGGCATCATGCATGTCAGTCCAAAACTCCCCACTGGCGTCAACCCCACAGCGGGAGGAGAGAGTCCCGAGGGAGGAGAGGAGGGAGGAGCGGGCAGCATTGAGAGTAGACGCTGCTTGCCGCCCGTCGAGAGAGATGGAGGAGTGGATGGAGGAGAGGCGGAGGGATGAGACGGAGGAGAGTGCGGGGGTGGGAACGGAGCGATAGAGAGCAGCGTAGGGGCGCAGCCAGAAGATGTACTCGAAGAGCTTGCGGAATATGCCTGCATGCAGGGGGTTGATGAGGGGGAGGTGCAGAGGGGAGGGAGGGAGAGAGGGGAGGGGGAAGGGAGGAGGGAGGCGGAGAAAAGAGCATGTAAGAAAGGTAGTCTATTTGTGTCCTGTCAAGAAGGGAGCAGCGTAGGAGCGCAGCCAGAAGTTGCACTCGAAGAGCTTGCGGAATATGCCTGTAGGGAATTAACAAGGGGAAGGAGAAGGGGAGGGAAACGGGGGAAGTGGGGCTGTCTATTTGCGAGGTGCCTCAGGAAGAGAGCAACGTAGGGGCGCAGGCAGAAGAGGCGTTGAAAGAGCTTGCGGAATATGCGTGCATGCATGGGGGGTTGATGGGGGTGGGAGGAGGGAATCTGGGGAAGGGGGAGGGTAAGGAGGAATGGTGTATAGCTAGGCATTATGCATGTCACCCAGCAGTAGCGTGAAAGCGGCTCCACTGCACCCACTAGAACATTCCTTATAAGTCCCCACGTACCAGAGCCGGGCGGCATGGCCATGAGGCGCTGAAGGGCCTCCATGGTGTTGCTGGCAGGCCCCATCCTCTCCCTCCGCGGGTGGAGTCATTGCGCCCACTGCAGCACCCTGATATGTCCCAACCCACCTGAGCTTTGTAGCATGGCCATGAGGCGCTGAAGGGCCTCCATGGTGCTGCGAGCACGTATGTTGAGACATCTCAAACCCACCTGAGCCAGGTGGCATGGCCATGAGGCGCTGAAGAGCCTCCATGGTGCTGCGAGCACGTGTGTTGAGACATCTCAAACCCACCTGAGCCAGGTGGCATGGCCATGAGGCGCTGAAGGGCCTCCATGGTGTTCCGAGCAGGTCCCATCCACTCCCTCCGCGCCTCCACCCACTCCCGATGCAACCCCACCACCTCCCACGCCCGCCTCTCCCGCACCAAATCCTCATACTCCTCCCTTGCTGCCGTGTGCACAGAGGGAGCACAGCAGATGATGTGTGAGTCGTCTATTAGGTGAGTAAACAGAGGCAACAGATGCCTTTCGAGAATCATTTCAAAGTAACAGCTGACAGTTTGAAGGATTGGCTTATAGATGAATGAATCATGAGAGGTGAGCAGAGCAGAGTGGCCCTCTCTTGATTCACAGGGGAGTCAAGCTCCAGAGTGCAGAGCAGAGGCAGAGGCGGCAAAAGATACAGAGAGGAGAGGGTGTGAGGGGAGGGGAGATGAGCAGCATCTGGCAGGTGGTGGTGCTGGTAAGGACGTGGTGCAGATCGGGAGCTTCGGAGTGCAGAGGCGGCAAAGGATACAGAGAGGAGAGGGTGGGAGGGGAGGGGAGATGAGCAGCATGTGGCAGGTGGTGGTGCTGGTAAGGACGTGGTGCAGATCGGGAGCTTCGGAGTGCAGAGGCGGCAAAGGATACAGAGAGGAGAGGGTGGGAGGGGAGGGGAGATGAGCAGCATGTGGCAGGTGGTGGTGCTGGTAAGGACGTGGTGCAGATCGGGAGCTTCGGAGTGCAGAGGCGGCAAAGGATACAGAGAGGAGAGGGTGGGAGGGGAGGGGAGATGAGCAGCATGTGGCAGGTGGTGGTGCTGGTAAGGACGTGGTGCAGATCGGGAGCTTCGGAGTGCAGAGGCGGCAAAGGATACAGACAGTAGAGGGTGGGAGGGGAGAGGAGGAGGCATGTGGCGGGTAATCACTCACTGGGTGCATGCATGCACCATCACATGAGTGCATGTGTATACATCACCTCCAGCATACATCATCTGCTGCCGCTCCACTTGACACATGAGCGCCATGCACCTCCCCATGCCCTCCCCCCCTCCCCTCCACACACCCCCTTCCCTTCCTGCCTTCTCACTCCCCCCCCCTCCACCTCCCACTCCCCCTCCTAAATTTCCAGAAGAAGCAGCAGCAGCAGCAGTGAGGGAGGAAACGGAAGCGGGTTTGATGGGCAGAAGAGTGGTGAGAGAAGCAGAGAGGGCGGCGGCAGTGGGGTGGTTAGAGGCGTTGGGGGGACGGAGGAAGGAGAGGAGGAGGGGGAGGGAGGTGGGGGAAACGAGTTGGATGGCGGAGGGAGGAGCAAGGAGGGTGTGGAGCTCCTGAGGAAAAGGGGGGTGAGGGGGGAGGAAAGAGAGGAGAGGTTTGAGGGTAGAAGAATGGTGAGAAAGGATGAAAGAGGGGGAAAGGGAGGTGAGAGGCAAAATGAGACAAGAAGGAACAACATTACTCTTGAACGAAACGAGAAGCCCCACACTCCTCCACGCACCTCCTTGTTGCCCCTATCCCCTCACCCGCCCACCTCCCTGGCCGCCCCTCTCCCCCACTCCCCCTTCACCTCCCTGGCCGCCCCTCTCCCCCCCTCCCCCTTCACCTCCCTGGCCGCCCCCCCTCAACCTTCCCCCCCCACCTCCCTGGCCGCCCCCCCCCAACCTTCCCCCCCCACCTCCATGGCCGCCCCCAGCACGCCGTCCATGCTAACGCCGCTCCTCGCCCGCCATTGCGCCACGTCAGCCATCAGTGCTGCCAGCTGGCGGTTGCTGAGTTGGAGCGCCAGGCGCGTGGGGTCGCTGGGGGTGTTGGAGAAGGCGGGCACGGGCACAGGGCAGAGCATGGGCGTAGGTAGGAGTGCAATCAGGTGATGTAAAGGGCAAAGCCAGGGTGCAAGGCGCGGGGGCAGGGGGCAAGGCGCAGGGGGCAGGGGGCAGGGGGCAAGGCGCAGGGGGCAGGGGGCACGGGGCAGGGGGCACGGGGCAGGGGGCACGGGGCAGGGGGCAAGGGGCAAGGGGCAGAGGGCAGGGGGCAGGGGGCAGGGGGCAAGGGGCAGAGGGCAGGGGGCAGGGAGCAGGGCGCGGGGGGCAGCAGGTCCAGCATTGCCAATCCCTGCTCTTTGGAACCCTCTTTCCACAATCCCCCAACACAAATTCCTCAAAAACCACCTCCCAACACTTCCCATGGACTATCTTCTATTGGTGAGCGTTCCCCCCAACCTCTGCTCCTATTCCGTACCTCTGCTCCAGGTCCGTCAGAGTTAAGCCGAACCCCTCCGACAGGCCCGGCAGAGAATCAACTGCATCCAGAGCCCCTCCTGACGACGACATGGTTACCACATTGCTGGTTACCACTCTGTCCGTTCCACCACCGCGCGAAAACAACTCCTCTTCCCCGCGTCCCATGTCGTTTGCGCCACTTGCTCCATCCCCCCTTGCGCCCGCTCCCCCCAACGTCCCCGCGCCAGCCGCGGAAGGGCCAGCGCGAGGGGGATTGGCGGAGAGAAGCGAGATGGCGACAAGCAGCGAGCCCATCAGCGCGCCGAGCGCAAACGGGCGGAGGAACGGGCGGAACGACCCACTGGAAGAATACGGGGAGGGCGCGGACAGGGGAGGGGGGAGGGGGGGCGGGAACGATGAAGCAAAGCGGGGCAGAGGTGAGGAGTGGAACGAGGGGCGCGGAAGGAGGGGAGCGGAAGGAGGGGAACGGAAGGAGGAGAGCGGAAGGAGGGAAGCGCGCGAGGATGTGAGGGAGGGATTACTATGTGGTAGGGGAACTTGCCTGGCTTGCGATTCGTGAGAAACTGGGCTCCTGGCATCGCCGAGCTCTGCGAAAAAAGACCGCCAAGCACGAAAAGAACCCTCAGGGTCGACACCGTAGCGCGTGGCGCCTCGGTGCCGAGCTGCCATTGCGGCGGCCTCGGGATTGCGGAACAGGAATTGTGCTGATGCATTCGAACAAATGAATCCCAATTCCCCGCTTCTGTGAGTTCGTGCATTTGGGAACGGATCAACCCTAAACACCTGGCGAGTTACGTGTTTAGGGTTGATTCATCCGAAAATGCATCCACGTTCTTTTTGGGTTTCATTTTGTTTTGGCGGGAGTTTCATCTATGACCATTCGCGTTTTTTTTTACCAGTTGATAGTGACTGATCACGTGAAACGTTTCACCAGTCGCGTGAAAACACCCTTTGCAGTGACCGTACCCTTTCAAGTCCCATGATGGTTATGAATGGCATATTTTCCCTTGCAAGCGGGCTCGCGCTTCTTGATACACTGGTGGCAGTACAGTTGCGGATTTGAAAACATAAATTTTTTGCATGCAAGTATAATTATTTACCATTCCTTGCGGATTACAATACCGTATATTTCCATTTTCCCATGAAAAACATGTTGGGAACAAACAATCTTAAGCGCCTCTGTCGTGTCGAAACACCAAGGCACAAGCGAAGCAGAGCATATCGAGGCACCAGCGAGTCAACCCTCGGAGGTTGAAGTAACCGCTGGAGGTTACGCGAAAGTCAAAGGTCAGCGACCTTTGACTTGACAAATGCAGCGCGACAGCAAGGACACACAACTGACTCGACATTGAGCAGTTGCCCGAGTCGCACTGTATCGAACCGCAACAGTAAAACAGTTTAATTATATCTCTTCGTATTCTTTGTACTCTTATACAAACCTTTGTACTTGCTTGTTTTAATCAACTTACTTTGCCCTCACATACCAGCGCAAGGTGGTTCAAGGACTTCATTTAAACGCTTCCGCTACTACATCACTCTACCCAGAGTTTAACCCTACCAAAGATCCTAAGGGGCACTCAGCCCAACATGGTATGAGAGCTGGTTAGGGTTAAAATTATTTCTCCTTAACACCTAATACACCAAGAGACATGTCTACCAGAAAGGAGAGGAGCTCCTCCAACGGCTCTCCTGGTACTACTCCTACTCCACCTCCTGCCTCTGGCCTACAGACAGAGGAAGGCACAACAACGAGACCGGCAGCTGGGTCTACTGAAACACCCGCAAACCAAGGCGCGGGCTTCGATCCAAGCATGATGGAGAAGTTCTTCTCCTTCATGTCCTTCTACGAGCAGCATCAGCAAGGAGCACCTGCGCAATCAAACAACAGCAACAACAACAACAACGTGACGCCCATGAGTCTCGATGGCTCATCCTACGCACGCGGGAATCAACAACAGCAACCTACCTTCGCTCCGTACGAGCCCCAGCGCGGCTCCGTCAGCTTCATGCCACAACCACAACCTGCACCGGGACAAGAGAGAACGCTGGACGCACTACAAGTTCAGTCGCAGTTCGCGCACGTTCTAAAACTGCAAACGACAAAACCCTTCGACGGGAAGGATTTCTTTACCTGGTCGTTCGAATTCGAGCTGATGATGGAAGGAGCGCAAATCCTTGGCTTCTTCGACGGGTCCCTGCCATACCCAACAAACGGCACACAGTATGAGAAGCAGCAGTACACCTATCAATCGATGATGGCGTACACGATACTACTGAGGAACATCACTCCAACTCAACAACAAAACATACGGTCTTACCGAGGCTACGGCAACTCCGCGGAGCTCGCGTACAATCACTTGAAGAGCCTGTATCAAGCAACAGACAGCGTAAACCAAAGTCGGTTAATGGCGCAGCTGACAACAATCGAAATGAAACTAGGCGAGAAGGGAATGGCGTATATCAGTCGCTGCCGCGAGCTGCGCGACAAGCTTCTTCGATGTGGATGATCGATTTCAGAGGACGCCTTCGTCGCGGTTGTCATCGGCGGTCTTGGTCCTCACTGGCGCTCCACTCGCACCATACTACGAGCCCACGGGAAAATTTCTGAAGCAGCACTTTGCGCCGAAATCCACGCCGAGCAGCAAGACATGGACCTGCAAGAAGAACGACACAAGAGAAAGGTATCAGTGCCCGAATTCGCGTTTCACACTCAACGGCGCCACAACAACAACAACAATCGACCGAAAATCGTACCTCCGTTCTGCCACCTCTGCAAGACTTCAGGGCATCCTCGTACGCACTGCCCGAATCGACAACAGTCAACGTCGCCGCAACGCCAACTTCGCCCTTCAAGCAGTCAAGTCGCCTCAACGCAAGCAAATCCGACAACTTCAGTACAAGTCTCAACAACATCGACGGGACAACCTGCGAAAGGAACAAGAAACATCGTCAGCTGCATGGCAAGGCTGAGTGACTCCTGCGTAACTGAGTCACCACCATATTACTCACCAGAAGAACAACTCGACAACAGCACGCCTCGCCGCGAGTCACTTCAACCGAACCCGACGTACGCCGCCATCGCTCAAAGCGAGCCGTCCGGGAAGGATACATGGTTCTTGGACAGTTGCTGCGGACAACATATGTGCTCTTCAGGACGTTTCGTTCAACGCGAGCACCAACTTCAACGAGAAGTCGTCATCACTGTCGCCAATAATCAGAACCTGCGCACACGACGACAAGGAGTAGTGCAACTTCAGTCACGAGAGACGAATGTCATACTGCAAATGTCCAAAGTCCTAATAGCAGAAGGACTTGGCTACAACTTACTGAGCGTCAGTCAGTTGATGGCGAAAGGCATACATCTGGAAGCCGACAGTACCACCCAGGAGTTCAAGCTGTACCACGGGAAGGGCGGCCTCTACATCGGAAAGGCGGTCCTGAAGAACAATGTCTTCGTTCTCGATTTCGTCCCAGACCTGGGCACCGCAGACAGTGACGGGATCGTCACCTTCACATCTTGGACGCACCCGCCGGATCTCGACCCCGACTTCAGTCCGGAAGGCTTTTGGTATTCACATACCATTCCTGAAGCAGAACGAACACGTGCGTTAGTAACAATACAACATTCGGCAGCAGCAGAGACAACATCGGCAGCAACAGAGACAACATCGGCAGCAGCAGAGACAACATCGGCAGCAGCAGAGACAACATCGGCAGCAGCAGAGACAACATCGGCAGCAGCAGAGACAACATCGGCAGCAGCAGAGACATCATCGGCAGCAGCAGAGACATCATCGGCAGTAGCATGAACAACAACAGTAGCAGCAACAACGACACCACTCCTCGTTGACGAAGCACCACCAACACCCGCACAGCAGCTGAATCCGGCTCAACGGGAAGTCCATAGAAGCGCAAACTTCACCGCCAGCTTCTACTCCAACTCCGACGCGTATCGACGCTCACCCGGACACCGCGCCTCCGAAGACATCTGGCACGCACGCATGGGACACCCAAGCAACACTGTGTTAAACAACACAATAAGAGCAGGAGTCCTTGACAAGGACTCGTTACTACTACTCGACGGCAGAGAACTTCAACGGGCACGAGGAACATGTCTTACCTGCCCCGAAGCCGACTTACCACATCGGCCGTTCACTCCTCATCACAACCCGAGCACACCCGCGTACGCACCACTCGAAAAGGTGTATAGCGACATCCTGTACAATCGGGAACCAGGACAAGTAATATACAACTACACAATCACCTTCATCGACGCCGCCACCCGTTACGTCTGGCATCTAAACCTACCCAGCCGCGACATGGTCCTCGAAGCATTCGCTGCTTGGCTACCAGTAGCAGAAAGAGAGTCGGGCGTAAAGCTGAAAAGCTTCCAGTCTGACGGAGGAGGAGAATACACCTCTCAGCGATTCAAGCAGTACCTGGCGGAAAGGGGAATCAAGCAGCTCCTCTCTCTTCCCTACGCCCATCAGCAGCAAGGTGTAGCAGAAAGAATGAACAGGACTCTGCAGAACAGCATGCGCAAACTGTTGCGTGGCATGCGGCTACCCAACCACCAGTGGCCTGGCGCGATGGACCACGCTGTCATGCTGCACAACTTGCTCTCATCTTCATCACTACCGAACAACGCATCACCGCATCTGCTGTGGACAGGAAAACAGGGCAGCACAAAAATGTTACGAGTGTTCGGATGCATGGTACAGTACCGACCCCCAGCAGCACGAGCGGGCCGATTTTCACAACGCGCACAGTGGGGACTACACCTCGGCATCGAAAAGAACTACAACGCGTGGAAAATCTTTGACGTCCAGTCCAAGGAAACAGTAGCAGCACGCGACGTCATTTTCTACGAACGATTCACGCTCCAGACATACCTTGCCAACCTGCAAGAGGACCAAGATCCCACAGGTGGTTTTCGTGGTGACCGAGCCTTCGCCTCGGCAGCAGACGAAGCTGACTGGGACGAGCAGAATGTGGCCAGCGCATCAGAAGAAGCTGGACCCCTTCCGTTCTGCTCCGTCGACGTCCCCATGGACGAAGATAACCCTTGCGAAAGTGTCAACGCCGAAACCTTCTACTACTTCGCCGACAACGGTTACGTAACACCTGCGACAGTCAACACCAACGAAGCAGAACGAGTAGGACCGAATTTCATACCTGATCCAGAAGCGGGAGATGAAGCAGCTTATCCCGAGGATGCAACTCTTCCCCGCTACTCACAGACTGGACTGCAGATTCTCGGACTCGTCACCGCAGTCCACGGCAACACTCTTCCTAAGGAGCCTGCGACGGTTCAGCAGGCTCTGGGGGGGGAACACAGGGAAAAATGGCGTGAAGCCATGGACAGAGAGTTAAAGGCGCTGGAGGAACGGAACACCTGGAAAGTTGTCCCCATCAGCGTGGCAAGGAACAAGACCATTCTCACCGGGAAATGGGTCTTCCGCGTTAAAACAAAAGCAGACGGCACAATTGAGAAGTTCAAAGCACGCTGGGTTGTGCGTGGATTCGATCAGGAGCACGGACGGGACTTCACCGAGACATTCGCCCCGGTTAGCCGACATACCTCACTTCGAATCCTCCTCGCGATCGCCGCCATGAAGAAAAGGAAGCTACGGCAAATCGATGTCGCCAACGCGTTCCTCTACGCACCTGTCGACGTGGAAATCTTCGTCGAGCTCCCACACGGTACCAACGGGGAACCTAACCAAGTCTGTCAACTGTTGAAATCACTTAACGGGATCAAGCAAGCTCCGCGGCTATGGCAACAGTACCTACACGCTCGCCTCATTCGCATCGGATTCCGCCAACTACCTCACGACCAAGGAATGTACCGACTCACTAAAGACACCGACTACATTCTGCTGATCGTCTACGTAGACGACCTACTCTACATCGGCTCCACTGACGACATCACCACCTGGTTCGAAGGGGAGCTACAGAGGGACCTCACACTCACGGTCTCCTCTACCGTCACACAGTACCTCGGCTTGAACATTCGGGAAGAAGAAGGCGCGATCTACCTCAACGCCGCTAAGTACGCCGACACCATCGCCAAACGCTTCGCGCTCACACCTACCACCATCTCTACGCCCTACCGCCACGCGACAGGAAACCACAAGGAAGGATCCTCTCTACTCAAATCCGCCGGGATACGCGACTACCAGAGAAAGCTAGGATGCCTTCTCTTCGCAGCTATCACCTGCCGCCCCGACCTCTCATACTCCGCAAGCCAGCTCGCCACCTACCTCAAGAAGCCTGAAGCAGAACACCTGGCGGAGCTCGACCGCGCTCTCCAGTACTTCGTCAGTACCTCAACGATCGGCCTAACTTACTACAAGAACACAACTACACCGACTAAATTAATCGGCTACGTCGACGCTGATCACGCTGGCGACTCCGACAACAGGCGCTCCCGCACCGGCTACATCTACCGCCTCGAACCTATCGGACCGATCTCCTGGCAATCGAGCAAGCAGGAATTAATTGCTCTCTCGTCAGCTGAAGCAGAATATATTGCACTCTGCTCAGCCACCAAGGAAGGACTCTATCTTCGCGAGCTGCTGGAAGAAGCGAAGTCAGCCGAGTTACCCAACTTCACTCTGTTCTGCGACAACCAATCTGCAATTCGCATCGCCAACAAAAATGGATTCGCGAACAGAACGAAGCATATCGCTCTGCGATATTTCTTCGTGAAAGACGAGATTGAGAAGGGGAGACTTGAACTATCCTACTGTCCCACGTCCGAGATGGCAGCTGACTACTTGACCAAGAAGCTCGGAAAACAGAAGTTCGAGTACTGCATGCTGCTGACTGGACAAAGCCACGTCACCAGCAGCGACACTCCAGAAGCGAAGGGGAGTGTTGGGAACAAACAATCTTAAGCGCCTCTGTCGTGTCGAAACACCAAGGCACAAGCGAAGCAGAGCGTATCGAGGCACCAGCGAGTCAACCCTCGGAGGTTGAAGTAACCGCTGGAGGTTACGCGAAAGTCAAAGGTCAGCGACCTTTGACTTGACAAATGCAGCGCGACAGCAAGGACACACAACTGACTCGACATTGAGCAGTTGCCCGAGTCGCACTGTATCGAACCGCAACAGTAAAACAGTTTAATTATATCTCTTCGTATTCTTTGTACTCTTATATAAACCTTTGTACTTGCTTGTTTTAATCAACTTACTTTGCCCTCACATACCAGCGCAAGGTGGTTCAAGGACTTCATTTAAACGCTTCCGCTACTACATCACTCTACCCAGAGTTTAACCCTACCAAAGATCCTAAAGGGCACTCAGCCCAACAAAACATACATAATAATAATAAAAAGTAATTTGCCAAGCCAACTCCTGAGCACAGGTTTTGGTGACGGCAGCAGTCACCTGGGAGGCTGCGTGCGTCTGGCAGCGGCTTGGAGCAGCAGCACTGCCAGCACCACACATGCTCTACTAGTACTACCCACCATATCAAGATCTTCCCGACTCCCAAAACAAGCCCGCTGCTGGGCTTGGCACTGCGGCTGATTCAGCCGAGACAGCAGATGTGGCTGTCGTGGTGGTAGCCACGGCTGGTGCTGCTTTTGCGGCGGCGGCAGCGGCGGCGGCAGCGGCGACACATCAAGGCACTCCCCCAGAGGATCACCACCAGTGGCAGCGGTCAGGGGTGGCATGCAGAGGTCAGGTGGGCTTGCCACAAGGCTGGGGAAAGCTTGTGAGGCAACACAGCTCGTGCTTGCAAGCACTGGCCCCTGCGAGGGTTCTGCTCCTGCTTCCGCTGGTGCTGCTGGTTGTGGTGGTGCTGCCGCTGGTGCTGCTTGTCCTTTAGTGACAGGCACAGGGACCTCTCTTGCCCATGCCTTGAGGCCTCTCCCCCATGCAGCATCCCCCACGGCCTCTCGGCCGAGATAAGTTCCAGGGGCGCTGAGTGAGAGCTCCAGCGATGGCTGCTCCTCCTCCCATTCGCCCTCCTCCCCCCGCGCCTCCTGGTTGCAGCGACAGTCTTGGTGGCGCGACACGGGTTGCGAGCTCGCGACCACGAGCATTTGTAATAAGACCTGGCGGAACCGGCGGAAGACGGCAAATGAGCGATTAAGTCAGATTGGTATAGTAGTGAGCAGTGAAGGGGGGTGCATGTAGCGACAGCAGAGGACATGCGGGAAGCAGAACGCGAGGGGCAGGAATCATCGGGATTGTTGAGCGGACGAGCAGCAGCATCGGCGAAAGTTGCGCCGGGCAGCAGCATTAGCATGAGCATAAGAATAAAAGGTACCTCATAACAGTGTTCTTGCTGATGCGCTTCTCGCCGTACTTCAGCCACGCGTAGCCGTCAGCGTTAGCGACGTCCGTCAACGACTGCAGGTCCGGCCGGTTGATTTTGACCGCCATCGCCGGCTCTTGCGGCGCAGCCACTGACGGTGCCGCCACGGGACTGTCGGTTGCTGGTGCTATTGCTTCCGAGCGGATACGGCGAGTTTTATACGGCGGTCCGCCGGGATCCTCGGCGCAATATCCGCCGGAAGAACAAGGCTCGGAAACAGCACGTGAGAGCAAAAGGCTGCTCCCGGGAAGTTGCTGGCTCTCTGTCGTCGCAAGGTAGAAATCCATCGTGGACGCGCGTCGCGCAACCTAATAGGAGATGCGAGGAGAGAAATACTTTCCTGATTCGCTATCTTTCTGCTTGGTTGCGTAGTAAATGGTTGGTCGCTCGAGCTGGAGAAAGAGACATTCATCTTCGGCTTTCTCCTCCCCACTATTCCTCTGCCTTGAAGTTGAAGCACAATACTTGACATCTCAGATGCAACTTGGGTGGGAAGTCAGGAGTCTCGACTGTAGTAGGACCGGCGAGAAAGTCGCGTTGTTTGTTGTGATTCGTCAATGATCACTGATGAGCAAATTGCTGCTCTGTTGTCCTGCTGCTTGATTGTTTCGCGCCCTCGCCGCTCCGTCAAGTATTGCCGCACAACATTCGGTTTTCCTTCGAGTCGCGCGCGGAGCTGGTGGGTGGGCCAGTGGGGTCAAGCGGACTGATGCGCGATGCCAGAACAGCACAGAAGCTGCATTCGTCAAGTGAGTCAAGTGGAGACGAGAGGAGGTTGAACAAAGCCGTGTTGGTGGTCAATACCTTCCGTTCTGCGATACAGTGCAAAATCGTCTACAACATTCTTTACACAGCAAGGCACAAATCCAATCACTCACAAACAAGCACACCATATTTCAAGCATAATATCCAAAGCAGCCATTCATTTCAATGACTCCTCATACGTGCAAAATATGCTTGGCTAGCATAGATGCAGCACACAGCACACTTATTGACCATGCAGTTTACCACACCTGATGTTCACTGTAGATAGATGGCCCTCAGTTTCCCAAGCACAGAGGGCGGCAAGTCGGGCTCTCCGAACAGCATGCTCTGCCCGCCACTGCCGGCACCCATGTCAGGCGCATCACTGCCCGGCACCACTGGCTTGGGCCCGCACAGAGCGCCATGCTGCTGTGAGAGCAGCTCGTCCAGCTGGCCCCCTGGCTGGGCAAACGCCTGCCACTCTGGCAGCTTTTCTAGCTTCGCCTGCCATGGATGGGGAGGGGGGGAAGTGGGGAGGGAGAGGGGGAGAAGGGAGGGGGGAAGAGACGGGGAAGTGAGAGATGTGCAGAGTGGCAAGGGAGGGTATGAGGGCAGGAGGTGGGGAGAGGAGGAAAGAGGGGAGGTGGAGGTGTGCTTTATCCAAAGACCTGGCAGAGTGTGTGAGACACGTGCAGTGGTGAGAGTGAGGGTACATACCTGCAGTGGTGAGAGTGAGGGTGCATACCTGCAGTGGTGAGAGTGAGGGTGCATACCTGCAGTGGTGAGAGTGAGGGTGCATACCTGCAGTGGTGAGAGTGAGGGTGCATACCTGCAGTGGTGAGAGTGAGGGTGCATACCTGCAGTGGTGAGAGTGAGGGTGCATACCTGCAGTGGTGAGAGTGAGGGTGCATACCTGCAGTGGTGAGAGTGAGGGTGCATACCTGCAGTGGCGCACTGGTGGTTGCTCTGCCCCTGATGTCAAACATGAGCTGAATGATGGGGCCTGCATGCCTGTGCACAGCATCACATGCACACATGCACACATGCACACATGCACACATGCGCACATGCGCACATGGGCACATGCGCACATGCGCACATGCGCACATTCACACATGCACACATGCACACACGCACACATGCACACGTGCACACATGCGCACACGCACACATGCACACACATACATACACCCACAACAACTACACACATGCATCCCCCCCCTTTCCCCAAACCCCCCTTGCTTTGCACACACAAGCCACATGCTCGTATGGACATAACAGCGCATGCGCACATGCACACACAAGTAAGCACACAAACACACAGAGTCAGCCCAGCTCAGAACACACTTCGGCCAGAAAATGTTCAACAATCAACACTTGGAACACCGAAGTCCTAGGCAGCGCAAGCCCTACCCGGGTCGTTGGCCAATGGGGGTGTTGATCCAGGGAGCTGCCGTCACTGCCAGCCTCACAGGCAGAGCCAGCGGGCCTGAAGGAACCAATGGCTCCGCTGCCGCTGCTGCTGCTGTCTGCTTCTTCCCCTCACCCTCCCCCTTGCTATCCCTCTCCCCTTCCCCCTTGCCCTCCTCTTGGCCCTTATCTTCTGCCCCCTTCTCTTCCTCTCCTGGCCCCTCCCTCTCCACCTTCTCCACCTCACTACTAGCAGCCTCGCTATCAGCAGTCCCACTACCACCCTCCTCCGCCCCACCACCCGTCACCTCTGCTGCCTTATCTGTCCCTTCCTCTCCTGCTCCCCCCGTCCCCCCTGCTTCCCCCTTCTCCCCATTCACGCGCCCCCGTTTGGCCTCTGGTTCTACGTCCACCTGGGGACGGGGGTCCGCCTCCCCCTCCCCCTGCCCGCTCCCCCGCGCCTTCCTCACCGCCCCCTCGTCCCCCCCTGCACTTGTTGGGGGAGTATCGGGGGAGGTGGAGGGGGGGTCGGAGGAGGCAGACTCCGCCGCAGCAGCAGAAGCAGCAGCGGATTCGGAGACAGCAGCAGCATCAGAGGTAGCAGCATCAGCAGCAGTGGTGCTGTCTGTGGTGGTGGTGCCACTGGTAGTGGCAGCGGTGGCAGCAGGTGGAGAGGAGGAGGGAAGAGAAGGGGAGGAGGAGAGAGCAGTGATGGTGGACGATGTGGAGGAGGAGGAGTCATCGGAAGGAGGGGGGTCAAGGAGAGACGAGGAGAGGGATGAGTTGGGACGCTCCAGGGCGGACTGGCGGAGGGACGCATCAAGGGAGGGGGTTTGGGAGAAGAACAGAAAGATTCGAGATTGTAAGGGGAGCACTGAGGAACGGGGAATGGCATGGCGATTGATTTGGAGGAGTGATGAAGGGGGAGGTGCTACACATTGTAACGGAAAGGGAGGAGGGATACGGAAAGTGGGGGGCGGGATGTATGCACCCAATGCAACACGACCTATACATGAGCAAGCAGCACGTACCATGACGAAGCAGCACACGCCATGGTGCAGAACGTTGCTCCAGAGGAAGTCAAACAGCAACGCCGCCACCTTCTTCCCCACGTCCTCTCTCGCCAGCCTGTCATCCACCACGCGCCCACACGTCCCCAGCACCTTGCGCAGCAGCAGCAGCAGCAGCAGCAGCACATACTTGAGGCAGCACACACGCACGTACCATGAGGAAGCAGCAGACCCCATGGTGCAGAACATTGCTCCACGGGAAGTCAAACAGCAGCGAGGCCACCTTGCGCCCCACGTCCTCTCTCGCCAGCCTGTCATCCACCACGCGCCCACACGCCCCCAGCACCTTGCGCAGCAACAGCACCGCCAGGATGCGGTGCCGCCCCGCTGCCGGCTCTGCCAGCTTGCGCTGGCACTGCTGGGGAGGTATGGGCAGCTCCAGCAGGGAGGCGAACGTCGGTAGACTCTCCACCACCAGCCGCAGCGGCTGGGCACGCAGAAGGGAGCGTGGGGAGGGGTAAGAGGACAAAAGAGAGGGAACGCGTTCATCATTTCTTTTTAGGGGAGTGTGAGTTGTTGGACCATAGTAACATACAGGGGCGAATGACACAAACAAGGCAGCAGCCTTGCTGCCGGTTTCGCCAGCTTGCGCTGGCACTGCTGCGGTGGTATGGGCAGCTCCAGCAGGGATGCGAACGTGGGTAGACTCTCCACCACCAGCCGCAGCGGCTGGAGATGTGGAAGGGAGGGGTGGGGAGAGATTACAGGGGAGCGGGGAGAGGGGGGAGCAGAAGTGGACAGACGAAGAAAACATTTGTTTTCATATTACGAACCATGGGGGCATGTAGGAGCGCACCAGAAAAGAGGCAGCTAACTAGGGAGCAGCACAAGCAGGCATGGAGCGCGCACGAGGGGAAGCATGTTGATGGGCGAGTTGTGGTATGACTTGGTGGGGTTGCAGCACAGGTCAGCACAGCAGCGATCAGCTCCATTCTAGGTGCCTCAACAACCATCAAAGCCTTCCGCCCACTGGAACATGTCACATAACCAACTTGTCATAATCATCTCACCAGCGGCAGCTTGCTAATAGGAGAGTTGTGGTAGGACTTGGTGGGATTGCGGCGCAGGTCAGCATCGACCAGCTCCACCACGTCCTCTAGTGCCTCCATCATCATGCGTGAGTCAAACAGCCGCGCTGCCCTTTGAAAGGGTTGCGGTGCATTGCAGGTCAGCAGCACCGACCGACCAGTTTCATTCTGGGTGCCTCAACTATCGCCTACGCTTTAAGACCCCTTGAGGCCTCTCGCGTCAAGAGAGCTCACTCACTCACCAGTGGCAGCTTGCTGATGGGCGAGTTGTGGTAGGACTTGGAGGGGTTGCGGCGCAGGTCAGCATCGACGAGCTCCACCACGTCCTCCAGTGCCTCCGCCATCATGCCCGAGTCAAACACCCGCGTCACTATGCTCCTGCTGCTGCTGCCCTCCGGTGCCATCTGCTGCAGCTTCTCGGATGCTTCCCTGATGAACCGGACGGCCGCGTCGATCTATGTGGGAACAGGACAGCGGGGAGGGGAGGGTGAACGAGAGTGAATGAGAGGCGCTGGCATAGAGAGTGCACGGTACATCGTAATGACATTAGATTGATCCAGCCATGAACGGATGTTGCTCGCTGCCACCTCTCACTATAACCCCAGGAATCCCGCGTCCATGTCACGACATTACTTTCACTTTCACCCATCCACCCCCCCACCACTCGCCTCACCCTGATCTGTGGGTTGCTCGCCTTGCTGGCCAACCCGCCCCCCATCCGCTCCCCGCTTTCAAAGCCACGTGGGTCCGCCATGCCCTGCCCCTTTCCTCCCTGCGCGCCCTTCTTCTCCTGTGCTGCTGGAGGCGGGCTCTCCTCGTACTCTATCTGCAGCACACGGGAGGCACATCAACAGGGGTATCAACAGGGCTTGAATCGTTTCAAGACTTTTGCCAAGATGGCCCTGTGCGTGGCAATGTTAGCCCACCTGGCATCACAAGATGTTTTCTGCGTTTTAACATCGCAACATGTTAACCCACTAGACTTAAAAGAGCTTCCGTGTGATAAAATTAGCCCAAGACGACATGACATTACGGACAGCCCCATGCCCCCACCCACCGCACCCACTCACCCTCACGAGCTTCCTGACAGCCTGCAGATTCGCCAGACACGCCCGCCCAGACGCCGAGATCGGATTGCGCTTCACGTTCAGGGAAATCAAATCCGGGGCGGCACTGGGGGCGGAGAGCGCGCAGGCGAGCTGGCGCAGGCCTGCATCCGATATAAGGTTCTCTGATAAGTCGACAGAGGTGACTGTCTCGCAGTGGATGAGCGCGTCTGTGAGGCGGCGCAGCTTCTTGTCGCCCACACGGCACCGCGCCAGCTGCACCCACATGCACAGGTCCGCCTTGCTGCGCATCGACTCTAATGCAGCAGCAAACCTGGAAGAGGGGAGGGGGAAGGGAGGAAGTGGGGAAGGGAGGTTGTGGGAGTTGGATCGAGAATAGTTGGGGGAAAGAGATGGGAGTTGCTGGTTTAGAAGGGGCACAACACCTAAATTAGCAGCCTTCGATGGCAAAACATGCGCTATATTAATTTCTGAGTCAGCACAAGATTGTTACAGGAAAAATCAATTTGTTATTTCAGTCTCAGGGCAGGAATAACCCCTGCCACTTTCCGATTCTTAAAATCTCTTCCCCCTACTCTTCCCACTCTCCCCCCACTACTCGTTCCCTCTCTTCCCCCTCTCTTCCCCATCTCTTCCCCATCTCTTCCCCATCTCTTACCCTCCCCCTCGCTTCCCCCAAACGACCCACCTCTTTTCCGCCACCTCCACCGGAAGCATGTCATCCAGGTCCGGTTGGCACAGGGGGGCATCCGCGGACGACGATGGGGGGAACGGCGCGGCGGGCGCGGAGTTGGCGGAAGGGGAGGTGGGCGGAGAAGCGCTCGGGGAGGCGGAGCCGTCACTGGATCCCCCACCCGCGCCCTTCTTCTTGCGCTTTTTCTGCAAAAAAAACCGCCAAGGAAGCAGGGGACAAAGGAGAAATATAAAAGTTTAAACAAATAAACGACAATGTTTGAAATTGACAAGGCTCGGGTTTGCGGAAAGTGGACGAAATGCGTTCTAAAGCCGGCCGGCAACAAGCTCTCTCCGTCCTGATCCCACCTGCTTTTTCTTCTTCTTTTTCCCCGTTCCGTTCGCCGTCTCCCCTCCTCCTTCCTTGGACTCGCCACTGGAACCCTCCTGTTGTCCGTCCGACACCCCTCCCGCATCCTCCTCGTCCTCCTCATCGTCCGATCCCGCGTCGGCCGCCTTGGGATCCTGAGTTTCCGGCTCTGCTTCCAGTGTGCCACCACGACCGTCGCTCATGGCTGCCGAGCGATTATTATACCCACGGCGATTAAAACAGGACAGGGACTTCCAGGCCTAAGCAACGATTTATAAAAGGGCAAATATGAGAGTTTTTTTGCCGCTGTAACTTATCCCTAGCAGAAGAGGCGTTGTGAATACGGTGAAGCTTGCGCAATGACGAGCGATATAAGGGTGCCCGTTGTAGAATAACCACCAGCGAACACTGGATGAAGGAACAACGCAATGGTGGTTTGGGGTAGGCTGGGGGGGGGGGTAGCAGCCAATGAATGTCAAATGAAATGTTTTTGCGACACAATTTCTGATCACGTTTCATCGGAATTTCTTGTGATGTTAATCCTTACTATTTTCCCGATTTCCTTAACCAGATGATCGATTTCTCTTTAACGAGGTCTAGAGCTTCAGCGGTGCCAGGCAGAGGCGCCTGCGCGCAAACTTTGCCATTCGCTCCGCACCCCAACTAAGGCTTCCCGCCCACAGCTGTCGGGCCCCTGACACACAGGGCGACACCACACCGAACTGTAGCACAAGCGCTGAAACGCGCTTGGCACATTTTAGGGCGCGGAAGGGGAATGTTTGCGCCGAACAGTTCAGCGGCAGGAGCCCCACAGCCAGATTCCAGGGGGGGCTGGGATGCGGAACAGATGTCTCCTGGCGAAATTCTCCAGGTTTTCCTCTGCATCTGCTTCATGGTCCCAAGAGATCTCCTCTCTTGCCAATCAAGCATCACTTGTGTTCTATTTTCTTTTCAGGCTGCTTAGCATTTGGGCCGCTTAGTGTGCTAGTCTTCTGCTTCTCAGGGATATCAAGGCATACGAAGCTTCCGTGCTTTCGTGTTCTCTATCGACTCTGAGCGAAGTCGCCATGGGTCAGCTCATCTATTCTTTCGTGGCCAGGGGCACGGTAGTTCTCGCTGAATATACCTCTTTCAAGGGCAACTTTAACACCATCGCCCTTCAGTGCCTGGAGAAGATGCCACAAGAAAATAACAAGTTTACGTTCCCCCATGGTGGCCACACACTAAACTATCTCCTGGAGAACGGATATGGTACGGATATGGATCTACGGTAGATGAAATTAGCACATGTGTTTCCTCCGTGGTCTTAACGTGCGAATTGTGAATCTGCAGCCTATATGGTCCTTGCGGACCAAGACGTCACCCGGCAAATCATATTCGCCTTTCTGGAGCGTATCAAGGATGACTTCAACGCCAGATATGCTAGCAAGGCTGCGAATCTTGGAGCCCATGCCTTGAACAAGGAGTTTGGGTGAGCTTTTCCACTTTTACCGCTATGGCTTTTATGCTTATCGTTTCCTTCTAGATTTGAATGACTGATTCGTACATTCAGGCCGAAGCTGAAGGAGCACATGAAGTACGTGGCCGAGCACCCTGAGGAAATGAGCAAGTTCGCCAAGATTAAGGCACAAGTGGCTGAAGTTAAGGGCGTGATGAAGGATAACATTGAAAAGGTGAGAGCCACTTTCATTCATGGATTTCCGGAACCCGTAGCATTGTGCGCCGTTCTTACCAGCTACCTTGGTGTTTCAGGTTTTGCAACGAGGCGAGAAGATGGAGCTTCTAGCGGAGAAGGCCGACGTTCTGTCGACTCAGGTAGGGTCGAAGTTTTGAAAGCTTGCTCTTAAGGTATGTGTAACGTTGCATCTTCTGACTCAAGCACTGCTGTACTGGTTTGTGCAGGCTAGCCAATTTAAGAAGCAAGGCACCGAGATTAAGAAAAAGATGTGGTGGGAGAACATGAAGGTGAAGGCTGTTGTAATTGGCATTTTGGTGGTGCTCGCTTTGATCATTTGGCTCTCCATCTGCCATGGATTCACTTGCCAATGAGAAGCGGTTTGAGGCTGACTGTACATTAGCAGAATATGTTTCAGCTGAGCATTAACCTAGTGCTCATTTTGCTTTCTCTAGAGCATAGCAGCTTATCGTATTTGGTCTTTCTATTGAATTATGACATACTCATACCGTAGTCAAGTACTTCACGCCCAGTCAATCATATTGGAGAACACATTAGTATTCGGACGCTCTGCACTACTGGTTTGGCATGGATCCAACAAAAGAACTGCAAGTCTAGAAGCCAGTGCATGAAAAGCCAACATCCATTCCTCCAACATACTGCAGGTGGCTAACAAAAGCATGTAACCTTATGCATGTTAGGGTAAGTGGGTTCATATTTTATCAGCCTTATGTACAATAGCCTCATGAACGACGCATGCGCTTCGCTTTCTGCTCCTCGGAAAATTGCTCGACATCGTGAGCAGTAATCACATGGTCAGTACCTGCAAATTTTGCCTGCAAAGGAAACAATAACGAGGTGAGAAGAGGGATAGAGGGAGAGGAGGGGAATGGAGGGGAGGGAGGGAGTTGAGGGGAAGGGAGGGGAGGGAGGGAGTTGAGGGGAAGGGAGGGTAGGGAGGGAGTTGAGGGGAAGGGAGGGGAGGGAGGGGAGGGAGGAAAAAAATTGGGACTAAGGGAAGAACGGAAGAGGATTGAGAGAGGGGGGGTTGGAGGGGGATGCTATGGCGACAAGTGGCTTTGAACTGCTGACAGACCTTGCCAGAGAAGAAAATGTTAAGCTCTAGTGGCATTCTGGTGTTCAGACTTACCAAAAACTCCTGAAAATCGGACTTGAAGCTGTTCAGGCCATGAATGATTTCCAACTGGGCAACCCGGTCCATGCTCTGAAACTGAGCTTCAACCTGTACACTAGCTTCCTCCTCCTTTTGTTGCCGTTTCTTCTTCGCTTCTTCCTCATAGAATTCGACAGTATCCTCGACATCAACAAGGAAGTCCACCCCTTGCTCCTCGTAGAACCTGAAGAGAGCGGCAGCAACATGAAATGTGTGAGGCCCTAGATATGAATTAAAATCAAGAGCATAACTCCTGATCAAAGCCACACCTGGTGCATTCTTGGCAGTTGCAGATGGAGGCCCTCCACCTTATGAGAAAAAGAGGACCGACTTCGAAATCATCTGAACCTGCAAGGGCGTCGGCGTCTGCAACTGCACTAGTTGCCTCTACTGAACCATCAGTGACATTTGGACCCGTTGTCAAGTGTTCAACCTTCAAGGTACTTGTTGAAACACCCACAGTTTTCTTTTTGAGAAAAGAGCTTAAAGTTCGCCCCTCAAAACAGAGGCTAGCTTGCAATCTGCTTCACTGTCTGTGGCTGTAGTACCAGGACCAGGACGTACATCAAGAGCGCCTTCATGAGATGAGCAAGAGTGCTGCTGAGGTTTGACAGCATCCACATTCTCAGCATGATGTCCACGAGCGGCTACTGCATCATCCCATACTTTGATGCCTGAAACTTCAATACTTGCTTCGTCCCCATTGGCATCCGCCTCCTCTTTGCCCACCACTTGAATTTTGTTTTCATTCCCACATAAAGGAACGTCACCAGCACGTTCTGGAGCTAGCAAGAGCTGAGGATACAACTTCAAGAAACGGCACTTCAAGGAGGCGCAGTGGTCACATATCAAATTCGAGAAATCTTCAGGGGCCTGCAAAAAAAACAGAAGTTTCGATATAATGTATGCTGGACAAGCCAGAAAAAACAACGGGTTTCTAAGGCATACCTCAAACCCGGGCTCAAGGCCCAGATGATGCTCATGGAACCAATCTTCGCACACAACACATTGTATCATGTCCGTTTCTCCGCCTCCAGCTTCGTCCTCTGGATCAGGATATGGCCTTCGACAGTTGCAGTATACACCCGCATAATTCTGGTTGTACTCGTTGTGCTCGTTCAAAGGATCTTTGTCAGGTTTCAGCTGGCATGAAGGAGCAACCGACCCGTGAAACTTGGATGTGCCGCAGTCACACCGGAACCGACGCTTCGTATAGAGCTCCACAAGCTAACACATGGGGGGAAAATGGCAAGGGATGAGATGTATGCGTGAGGGACGGAGCTGCAGAAAAAGTGCTTCCCGGAGAGGCAGAGGTGTGGAATCGACGTGATGAAACGATCAGTACCTCATGCCCATCATGACACTTCAGTGAGCATGAAGTGCAAATTCCCGCCGGCTTCCAGTCATCAGACACTATGTCTCTTGAGTCCGCACGACTGCTTCCTCCACTCTTTCCATCACTTTCTTCAGTTTCCTTGGACGGAGTTGAAATTTTGGGCGGAGGCACGCACGTAAGGCAGGAATAGAGAGCCTGTCGCTTACGGTAGCCCATGTCGTATGTGCACTTGTCGGGATCATCCGCACCGAGCACCGCGAACGCTTCCTGTGGCAGGCATAACGTTCATGCGCCGTGCGCCCAACATGGGTTTACGGATCACACGAAACTGAGGATTTGTACAAGTCTACTACGAGAATACCGTAAGACTGCTATGTGAAGCAGAGCTAGTGAAAGAGAAATGAGAAATGTGTGAGGACACGGACCTCGACTCTCTCCTCATACTCGTCTGCCGTCATCGCCTCCTCCTCCTCCTCAAATATATCCGCCATGGAAAGCGCGGCGTAAAAAAAACGCAAGAACAAGATGCAAGCAAGCGAAGATCAGAAAGCCAGAGTGCCAAGCCTGTCACAGAATGGCAGGAGCAATCAGCCTGGATGACAGAAGCCAAATTCCTTGCCTGCATGAAGCAGCTGGATGTTTTTGGTGGGCATTGCCCGGAAACCGCAGCACAGAAAATGAACGCGGGAGTCGTTGACAGCCGTCGATTAAAAACGAATGTTTGTATTTCACGGTTGGGATGTACCTTAAAGCTACAATCGCGTACATCGCTACACGTTCACAAAGTTCTACAAATGACAACAGTTATGTCATGTGCTTGCATTGTTGAACAAACTCCAGCCAAATGTGCACTTCCTTGCATTCACGGATCAATTTTCCAGCGATTCATCAATTTCGCCAGTGCCCTCCAGCTATTGGTGTAATGGACACTCTGCCCATTCGCGTCCCCACAAGCGATTCCGTCCGTTCATCGCCACCACGGTACCGCATCGCATGCGCTTTCGCGCCGAAGAAGGTGCGATCCTTCCTGACGCCCGTCGCTGATCGCCGCATGCTTCTCGAAGGGCATCGAAATCGTCCCCGTTGATCCTTCCCGAAGCCTTCTGGAGTACCGGAGTAGTAGCGAGGAAAACGAGCTCGCCACAGATGTCCCGCAAAAAACCGCCGTTTGATGCGGTAGTGCATAAGGTGCTCACGGCCGAATGGGCTGATCAGCTGCGGATCTTAGCTGAACAATTTCCCACTTTCGCTGGGCGAATTGTCGACCCGACAGAGAGAATCGCTCGCGTGTGTAATCGCGCTTCTATGCTTCAAGGCCTGCTTCCTGATGCTGACACGTGTCAGGCCACTGAAATCTCGAAGCTGGCAGGAGAAGAGAAGGCAGCAGTGGGAGTGGAGGTGACGGGAGGTTGGCGAAATGGGGAAGGGGAAGAAGAGGGCCGGAAATGGGAGATAGTGCCTGGTTTCTTCGTATGTGTGCCTCAGCAGATGGTGCTTACTCTGAGTGAGCTAAGGCGGCTAGCAGGAGATCCCCAAGAAGGCCCCAGTGGCTCCTCGTATTTGCAAGACGTTTTACAGAGTCAGGGTCTATCTTGTCCTCTGGTGGCCAAGCCTGTGGAAGCTAATGGCAGCACTGCGTCCCATTCCCTCTCTCTTGTCTTCAACACTCACGGCCTCATGGCACTTGCTCATTCCCTTGAAGCCGTTCCAACCACTACCTCCCCAGCCTCCGCTGTTGATGCTGCTGCTGTCGCTCCTGATGCTGATACCATGGGTGCTTGTATCCCGGCTGTTGCCTCCGTATCTGCTCAGAAGCATGCAGACTGCAAGGAACCCTCAATAGTCTTGCAGCAATTCATAAACCACGGCAGCCGACTCACAAAGCTCTATGTCGTTGGCTCATCCGCGCGATGTGAGGTTCGCCCATCTCTTCCTGATGTAGCCCCTTCCAATGCCAACCGGATGTTTCTCCTGGTTATCTACCCTTCTCCCATGTATCAAACGTTCCTGTACCTCAGCCTACTCACCTTCCAAACGCTGGCAGCAGCACAGACAGCAGCATGAACATGGGTACAGATGACCTTTGGCCTGGCCCTCTGCCAGATGGAGTGGCGGATGCTTTGGGAAAACACTTGCGGGAGCAGCTGGGGTTGAGACTTTTCAATGTCGACATTGTGAGGTCTGTTGCATGCCCCAACAGGTTCTTTATTATCGATGTCAACTACTTTCCGGGCTTTGCCAAGTTGCATGGGTATGAAGAATTGCTATCGGACTTTTTCCTGAGCCTACTGCAGAACAAATGAAATCAATATTACTTGAAACCTGCTAACTGTGCCAAGGCTGCTTTCCTGAAAAGATGTTGTGCAGCAGTGATGTTGCTGACTTGAGCTTCACAGCGTTTTCTTGTGTCACCTTTGCAGCTTAGCTTCATTGAGTGCTAGCCGCAGCAGCAGAGTATCATCAAGCGAAACATGGTTTTCAGATGGCTTCCACACAGGAAAGATGTGGGCACTGGGAGCTGCCGGGGTTTCAAGAAGCTGTGAGTGGGGAACAAGTAGAATGGATAACGGTACAAGGATGAAGAGGCAGGCCGGAGGGACAGGTTAGTACGGGTGAATGAATTCTGTGGACTGAAGTGACGATTACATGCCGTGAATTGGTAACAGTTGATGTGGGCATTATTGGCAAATAGACGTACTTGATAGCCCAGCTGGTGATATAGATGATGTGCTGCTGTGTTTGATGCATGCACATGAACATACACCTCTTCAGCACCTGAAGGGCACGCTCATACACACAGAAACACAAACACGGGCCACATGCATACGGTAAATATGGAAGCAGAGGGAGTGTTGAGTACATGAACAGAAGCGGAGCATGGAAAAATACATATTGGCCCACACTTAACCCACCGTTTTTTTGTCGGTACCCCTTTATAACTCACCCCATTCTGCTGCAACGTCGGCTGCAGCACGCATGAGAGCTGCAGCAATTCCTTGTCGCCTGAATGTGTTTGATACGCACACATTTGATATGTACGCATAGTATGGTCGCTCCAACACCACTTGCCCTGAAGGTTCATGCTGCTGCTGCTGCTGCATCTGCTTTTGAAGTTCCTGTACTGCCATTGGAACTTCTTGTTTCTGCTCTTGTAATTGCTGCTCCATTGATGCACTTGGCTGCTTCTGTTGGACTGCCTGCTGCGACCGACTCTTCTCATTTTGCTGCAGAAGCATGGCTTCAGCTACCACTAAGCCCGTCAAATGACGAGCTCTCTCGTCACTCTCCTGCGCCGCTGCCTGCCATGCATCCTGAACAAGCCAGTAGAACAGGAAAGATAGTGCATCTCAACTACAAGAGTGCAGGTCACACATCAAGATCGGAAAGTGGAACCGAATGGGGAAAGCCTCAAATCTGTAAATCTATGAAGTATTTGAGATAGAAGTAAATCTTAATGTGGGATTGCGAAGTTACCTGGAGGTCAGAAATGGCGTTGTTGAGGAGAGAGGAGGCAGAGGCAGGCAAGCTGGAAGGGTACCGGCGAATTTCAGCTTGGATGCCGCTTACAGCCGATCCAATACCATTCACAGCTGACTGAATGCTGCTTGCAGCTGACCCAATGTCAACCACAGCTGACTGAATGTCGCTCACAGCAGCTTGCAGGCCGTTGGCCGTGGTGGAAAGAGCAGTGAGGGCGGAGGAAGGCAGAGATACCAAGAAGCTGGAGGACTCGCGAGGGCGCTCGACCTGAAAGCAAGAGGGCAAGGACGAGCAGCAGTGGCTCAGGTGAGTTCAAGGTATGCACCATGGGGCCATGAAGGGAGGACAAATCAGGGACGCCATGCTCATGTAATGGCTTTCAGGTACTGCAGGAAACCAGTTCAGACGGTTTCAAAAGTAATTAGCTCACCCCTGGAAATATCTCATTAGACCCCATTCGTCTTAGGCTGATGTCAAGAGTACCCACAACTCTCTCCAACTCAGTTATTTTCTGCCTCGCTTTAACCCCTTTGGCTGCAGCCCCTCCTGCAGCATTTCTAGCTGCTACACCTGCACCCTGCCTTCCATTTGGCACACTGACAGTCTCCCTCTCCGCTCCTGCGTCCTCCAACCTATGTTCCAGAGCCGCAACTTCTTTGTCTGGTTGTGCTACTTCAGCAAGCCTTATTACGGAGCCATTCGTGTGAATGGTGAACGGCTGCTTGTCACTGTCGTCTAGTTGGGCCTGCATGGCAGCAAGGCAGACGCAGCGGATAGATTGACCCGTGGTCCCGTTGATGCGTCGTTTCATCGAGTGGAATTCCTGGGAGGCGAGAGACAGAAAGAGGCAGAATGAGCAACAATGGGCGAAGGCAGGGATCGAGCATCAGAGAAAGGCAGAGATGAGTCATATGGTGCAACAAGTCTAAGCTTCATGGAGTCGAAAAATGTTGCGTTGCTTCCAACTGACACTTGGACTGCAAGGCTATTTATTCTTCTACATCGTACCTGTTCAGTGAATCGTTTTTTGAAGCTGTCCACGAACCTGTGTGTAAACAATGTGACGAACAACATGGCAGAAATCCTTGCTAAGAATTCAAGGATGTGAACACTAGGCAGTCCAATCCTTGTGACAACTAGCGCAATCAGGAGCAAAAGGAGCTAGGAGCTGCTATTAACCCTTTAAACGAGCAGCTCAGGCAATGCCACGCGCCTTTACGTTTCGCACGACAGACGAGTGATGGTATCACCACCCAAGCTACAGATTTCATCTTCTGGGTGAAGACCTGTCAAACATACACAGAGCACGCCTTCTCTCACCTCACATGCGGTTCCGTTTCACATAAGGCATCTGCCTCGAAGCGCCGCTGCTGCCTGGCAGCATCAGGGTAAACGAAGGGAACGTGAGCATTTGTAAGATGAAGTAACACCAGCAAAATGCGGAAGCAGAATGTTACGACGAGATGGATGACTGCTGTCACCGCGCGTCCTACCCTTACAAGCAGCCATACCCAGAGTTGTGGATCCTCCGTCACGCGAACAACTTCAAATTTGCGATAAGTTGACAAATTGACGGCATTGTCAGGCGAAGGGACAGACACTGCTATCTCTTCAGCCTTCTCCACTCGCTCGCTGCTGGTTGGTACTTGCTCTATCTGACCAGCTGTCGCTGCTGCTTCGCGGTCCGCGTTGACTACCGCTCGCAGTACGTGGGAGGCACGAGCTGGAGCCAGAAGAGGATCATGCCGCGAGCGCGCGGCTGACTCGACCTGACGCCTACATGGTCGCGGTCCGCGGTGTTCTATCTGTCCGGGGTTTAATATGTAATTCGGGAGACACATTGGTGCCGCCGAGAGCTGAAACACAAGGTGATGGAGGAAACAGCAGCAACAAGAACAGCAATTGACAGTACAGGCATGACGGAAAATGTGTCAAGCCCCTGGTTTCAGCTGGAAGTCAGGACGGAAGGACAAGACGTTTGTGCAGTCAGAGCGGCTTTGCCAGTTTTTGTGGTCCCTTGGCGTTCCAAAGAAGCCTATCACGTCTTGCAGAAGGCCGTGTGTTGCTGCAGGTGGCCAAGGTGAATGCAAAACTGCTTTCTGCAACGCTTCTCTCATGCCATTTCAGCAAAATTACTCGCTGGATGATCTCAAGGGTGATAACTTCGAGGGAGGGGAGAGAAGGGGCAGGTCTGTGTCCTGAAACAGATGTTTCGATTATGTCGATTGTAGCAGATCGAGGAAACGTTATTTCCAGTCATCGACGGTAAGAATTGTTTGACGGACTGTGCTGACATTTTGGACGGATAGATGTAGATGTTGTTTCTGTGAACACTGGACAGAAGAAAGAGTCGGGCAGTTGTTTCTGGGTGGCAATTTGGCAAAACGCTGCTGACGTGCATATGTTCGTTGAGAAGGCCCCTCGCGTCAGCTAAACCCAACATCCACCTCAGACGAAAAAATTGTGGCTGGAGATGGATCAATCAGCGCAGCGCTATGTGGAACACGAAAAATAACATGGAATTATTACACACTGCATCTTATACATTACTAGAGACTATATTAATGCCCATATTTTGCTGAGACAACTGTGGTATTCTAAAGCATCACTTTTAGACCCTGCAAGGCGATGTATGACCTCCAATTATCAATGACTTCTTTCGGGCTTGGCACCATTCCATCCAACGGGTACTTCATCCCTAATGCTTCCCACTGCACAGTGCACAAACACGAAAGATGTAAAAAATAAGATGGCAACAAACAATGCACCACCAAATGCTATGTACAGTGGTACAGCTGAGTCGTACCTTGTTGACCCCTAGTCTGTGATATGGAAGCATTTCAATCCCAGCCAACGTTGGCTGCTGCTTCGCCCATTCGACAAGGCCCTCCACCTCCTCCTTTGTGTCAGTCATGCCTGGGACCAGAACAAAGCGTATGACCATAGGGACGCCATAATCTCCCACTGCTTTTGCGAAGTCCAGAAACAGCTGCTGCTTCACTTGTACCATGTCAAAGTAGAGCTTCGGGTTCACTGCCTTGGTGCACAGGAGAACAGTGTCAGTGTGTGGAAGAACTTCAGCCCAGTCCTTGGCTCTGCCGTATCCTGCATTTGGCAGAAACGATGAGTTCAATACAGGGAGCATCAGCAACTCATGCCAACACTACGAAGGGAAGCGTGAAAACTGGCTAAACAAGCTCAACCTACTGCGGTGCAGGCCCGACGTTACCTGCTGTGTCGAGTGCTGTTGTTATTCCTAGTCGGTGGGCCCTCCTTGAAAACGGCACTGCAGAAGTGAGGCTGCATCATTGGCTCCCCTCCTGAAATAGTCACCCCACCACCGCCTTTATAGTACGCCAAGTTTTTCTTCAACCGTGCAGCAATGTCTTTGGAAGATAACCGTTGGGACTTGGCTGTCACACTGCAAAATGGAAAGCGACGGACGGCTTACAGCATGAGGACGCTATACAGCGGTACCGAGTAGGCAGCGAAGAGTACAGGATACTCACCTCCATGTATCTGGGTTGGCACAGAACACACAGCGCCTTGGACATCCCTGTGTCCATGCAACACAGTGAATTCATCGATTCTGGTTTGTTCGATAACATGCAGAATATGGGCAAGAACAGGAAGGGAGTAACAGCTGCTTACCTGCACAAAGACCACGGATCTAATGGCAGGTCCGTCCACTGCTGAGAAGGACTCGATCGAATGGACCCGACCCCATACTTCAGGGATAACCGGATCAATGTAACCCTTAGGCACCACTCCTGGGGACATGTCTGGGAGGACTTTGTGATTTTCAATCAGCTCAGGTACTTCAAAAACTCTTGTGGGTGTAGTAGATGTCACGCCCTCTGCTACTCGTTTCACCGTCGGATTCTGCACTCCGCAGGCCTTAGCAGCAACTTTGACGGACTCTGGTAGGCTGCCGTCTGCTTTTGGCATCAAAGGCCGAAGCCTCGGTTTTGATCCCGCAGATGGCTTTGAACTAGCCGGTTCCTGAAAACGAGCAGCATGGCGCGGTCAAAGTTGGATTCTTTACTGAAACTTCAACCCACATTCACATCGCAGCAAAGCTAACCTGTGAAGCACTAAGAGGAGGGATTCTGGTAGCTTCGTCGTCTTTGCCCCCTGCACAATACCTCACTAAAATCAGTATCATAATCTGATCAAGACTTTGAAGAGCAGAAGTCGCAGCATACCTAACGGAGCCGTAGTTAACTGTCTCTCTAGAAGCCAGGCATATCTGGACGTCCCAGGTCTTAGCCAGTCCTGCGAGTATAACAATGATATCCTGAATTAGTAAGTTGTGCAGCCTGATCGCGAATGCTACGTGCCCCTAATACACACCTGCTTTCTTGCACGAAGAAGAAGAGAAACTAATCTGGTCGCCATGACTACAGTTAATGGCTGGTTCGGAGAGTGATCCCCAGTTAACAAGCACCGACCAAGCTCATCTGAGAGAACCTGCCAATGCCACCTCCTAAGATCGAGCGATGTTTCGGAGACAGCGAGCGTGCATTCACTGATTCTTCGAAATATCACACAGGAATATTAGATACATGTACTAGCGGTTGTTTCGCGGGCCTGTACGTGAAGTAGGAGGATATAGGGTAGGGAGGAACTGAAGACATCAGAGGCACGAAAACGGGCAAAAACACTTGCTCTTGTGTCCAGGGCAGCAGCCTTGACGGCTAGCTGGTCATCGTCCAAGAAGCGGAGAAGCCCGTTGGTTGGTCCCCCCTGTCCAATGTTTGTCAGGTTCCGGGAATCTTGGGAGCACATGACGATTTGGAACTTAGGAACTAAGTGCAGGAGTGTAATTGTT